ACTCAAAGTGTTCTCAACAAGTTCTGAAAGGTGGTCGGACAGATGCTGATGGCTGACATTGTGCAGGTTGTAATAGTTCGGGTTTTGAGTCATTCGGCGGTAGAAGTAAGTCCAAGTGAGGATATCCTGAGGGATAGAACGTAAACACAACGAAGAAACATAATCAGGAATCGCTTACCATAGCATCCTGCTTGTTCTCAATGGTTTTGACTGCGATCTCCGCGAGGAAGTAGTCATGGAGGAGATGGGTCGGGAGATGTGACTCGATTGGAAGCCCTTCGGCAAGGAACTTCTTGTAGAAGTCCTTGCGTGTTTGCTGGCACATGAGAACGCATCGACTGCGCTCATCTTCCATTGGCCGACAAGCGCGGCCCATCATTTGGAGAACGTCCATGACTGGATAGTCGATGTAACGATGCTCCTTGCCCTCATAGAACTGAACACCCATGATGATGACCATGTAACTTGCCACCGGCAAGCTCCAAGCCGTGTCTTTCGATGCAACAAGCAGTTGGATAGCTCCTGACTCAAACAGGCGCTGAACGATCCGTTTGTCCTGCTTATCGAGAGCCTCGTGGTAATACCCGATACCGTGTTTGAGCGTTTCAACGAGGCCCTTGTCGTTGATGTGGTCCAGGTGAGGTTGTAAGTCGTCAAGCTCGATGTTGAGGAATCGATCAGGTTTATCGTCCGCTAGGCAGTGAGTCAGAAGGTCGTCGACCGTCAGGCGGCACTGTCGCCTGGAGGGAACAAAAACGATGACGGGTTTTGAGGGAGAGTACTCCAGAACGGCGAGGTAAGCAGGCTTCGACATGGCGATCATCAAGGAGGGGAAATGGGGGATGGTAAAGGACTGAAGATGTATGTCCATATCGAGGGGACGGGCACTAGTAACAATATCAGTACCCAGCCTTCGAGGAGCAACGGAAGGCAAATACCTTGGTGAAAAGTTGAAGATCGCGTGAGAAGGTGCACCCATCCACTCGCCCAGATCTCGGGCGTTCGCAAGAGAGACTCCACAAGCGACTATGCGTGTCTTGATTTCCGTTTGGGCTGAGACATAACGCGTGCGGGAAATGACGACCTCGTAGGTGGGTCCCACTTCACCGCCGACCAACTGCACCTCATCAGCGATAAGAAGACCGATATTTTGGATGTTTTTGCGTTGTCGCCACCGTCGTGAAAGGACGTCCCACTGTTAATAAGTGAGAAAAAAAGGGAAAGTAGAATGGAAAGATCTGACAAACCTGCGTTGGTGTGCAGACAATGACGTCTCCTTTCTCCAGAAGCCTCAGATCAGCACTTGTCTCCCCTGTGAGACTGACAATCTCCTTCCCGCCTTGAAGCTTTTCGAACTTGGCCCGCCATTCCACAACCCGCTGATCAACCATTTCTTGATATGGCTCGATACAAACCGCTCGGGGTTGCTCTCTCTTACTCCAGAGACGAAGGAGAGCAAATTCTGCGCAGATTGTCTTCCCGCTACCGGTAGGCGCACCGATGAAAACATTTTCGTCTGTCGTATAAAGAGCTTGGAAAACCTGGGTTTGGATCTTGTTGAAGGTTTGTATCGTCGAGGAGTAGAGTGCTTCGAATTCCTTGTTGTGCAAGGCGGAAAGAGGTAGGGCCTGTAGGTCGAGAAGCGGAGTAGGAGGAGGGAACTTTTCGGGCAAAATGAGATGTTTGAAAGAAATGGGAAGCCGAGTTTCGGCGTGAAGCCAGCGATCCGAGATAATGGAGATGTAGTAGTTGGGTGGGACAGGTTCGAACATGGGCACAGTAAGAGTAACGTTATGTTCATCTTCCGCGTATCGTTGACGAAGGATGAACGAGTCATGGAAAAGTATCACCTCGCCATCCACATCTTCGACCACGATAAGGAAGGTCTCCGCCGTACCATGAATTTTTTCGTCCCATCGAAAATCAGGTATGATAGAAAGGTCGATTCGAAGAAGCGACCGAGTGATGGGTTGGACCTGCGCCTGGAGCCTGAAGCAAGTTCGTCAATGAGATACCCAAAAAAGTCAGACATCAATCAGAACTTACTGAAGCTTCGGGAAGCTGTGGACGAGACGGTGCACCAACCGCCCAGCGTTAGGGATCCCGATTAGTTCACCAATCTCAGGAGGTGTCTAAAGAAATTTGAGCGGCGCAGCTAGAAACGAAGTTGACGAAGCGTACCAGATCAAAGTAACGGTACCAAGGCTATGAAAGACGCGCATTGTCAGCAACGAAACGAAAGGGGAACAAATATCACTCACGAATTGTTTGCCTTCTGCCTTTCTTATCACTTCAGCAGGAACGCCCTTGAATTGACGAAGAGGCGTCATTGAACCCCACCTGATATACTTGTGAGCGATGGCTAGCTTTAACAAGCACAACAACCTACATCCTCTTCTCAACCATCTTGCAAAGGTCGAGAGCTGCTTTAGCAGGCACAGCCCAGCCGCGTTTCAGACATATCTCGAACATAGCCCTCAAAATACTATAGGCGATATAGTTAGCACAAGTCGAGGGACGCGGTTGATCAGTACACACCGCCCAGCAGATTGCTGCACAAAGACCATGTCAGCGACGAGGACGAACCCTAGAAAGCTTTAGATATCATTCCAGTGATGAATGGCCGTGAAAACGCTTACCATCGAGCTTGAGTTGCGAGATGTAGGCTTGCAGGAGTACGTTGATTTTGGCCGCAGGCTCCTCGACGCTTTCTTTCACAGGAATCGGTACCCTCTCGAGTAGCTTTGCGAGCTCCAGCTTTTCCTCTTGTCGAACCTGATGAGAAAATGTCAGTGAAGGCACATAAGAGATCACAAGGAAGAAAACTTACAGGTACAAACTTAAACTCGTTTGAAAGTGCAAAAACCCTGAATAACTCAAGCGATGACATCGTCGAACGTAGATGCTGGTTGTAGACCATCATGGAGTTGTACGTCACATAGTAATACGAAGCGATTCGGCCGAGCTCTGTACTTTGGAATCGACCTGACGACCTCTCGTACTTGATAAGTTGACACTTCTCCAGAAGGACAGCAGCGGAGTGGGCTATGTCAGCGCGCTTCTGGACTAGGGCACCGTCATCCTCCTGGTAGTCGACGCCTACGCTGTACAGGGCCGGCGACTTGAGCATGCGAATGTAGCTGCAAACGGGTGTTAGATTCTTTAGAAGAAGAGAAGAAAAAGAAGGTACACGCACAGGTAAGTGTAACCAAGCCATTGAACGGCTTCATCACGATTCCGGACGGTCCCAAGCACAATCTCAGCGTTGAGGTTGTCCGCCAGCTTCGAGACAAATTGGGACTCGATGGGCAGCTGCTGGTTCAGCAGGCTGAGGTAGTACTGCATCTCGGAGTGGTTTGTGATGATGATGCCCTCTCCAAAGGTGTCATATTGCGGACGACCGGCGCGACCAAGCATCTGGAGGACGTCTTGGGATGAGAGCTCCACCCAGCGACCCTTCTCTGGGTTGTAAATCTGCGTTCCCTTGATAATGACGGTATGGGCAGGAAGATTGACGCCCCAAGCCAGTGTCGCCGTGCAAACTAGGACCTGGATAGATCCGTCCGCAAACAATTCTTCAACGAGTCCACGGTCCTCCCTTGACATTCCAGCGTGATGAATGGCGAAGCCGAATGGCAAGAGATCTCTCAGGTTGCTGTCCTTCACGTTGCCAGCTTCCTCCGTCAAGATCTCTCGAACGGCACCATCAGGCTTCACGAACTGGGTGATCGTCTCCTTCTCGATGGCTGTGTCTCTCAGGAACCTGGCGGTCTTCGCAGTTTCTTTGCGAGAGTGCACGAACACGAGCGTCTGGTTCTTGCCCGCCTGGTCGAGCACCTTTTCGTAGCAGACTTCATTGGTGATCTGGTAACGCTTGATCGCTTTCTTTTCCGTGACCCCGATGAACTGTTGTTGAAGACCGCAAGGCCTATATGACGCGTCAAAGTAGAAGAGACCCTTCTTCTCATCAACACGAAGGAAGGTCGCAACGTCCTCGTAATTGGGCAATGTAGCCGAAAGACCAAGGAGGCGGACGAACTCAGATCGTTGTTCCGCCCATCTGACAGTCCGGGCGATGATACTTTCCAAAACAGGTCCTCGCTCGTCGTGGAGGAGATGGATTTCATCAATGATGATGAGGCGTACGAGGTTGGTGTAAGAAGTGTCGGTCATTTTCCTCGTGATGACATCCCATTTCTCCGGAGTGGTAACGATGATCTGGGTCTCTGCAATCTGCTGTTTGGTCATTTGGGAGTCGCCAGTAAGCTCGCCGACTTTGATACCGAAGACCTTGAGTCGGGCTGTGAAGTTTCCGACCATCTCTTGGACAAGGGCCTTCATGGGAGCGACGTAGACGATCTTGAAAGCGTCCAAATCGAACGTTCCGGTCTCTTCGTTACGGTGCTTGGCAAGTTCATTGAGAATTGTCAACATGGCGACGTTTGTCTATGAGGCGATGATTAGGGAGTTGAAGCTGCATATCAACATGAAAGACGTACCTTTCCCGCGCCAGTTGGAGCACAAAGCAATATAGGTTCGTCTGTACCGAAAGCGATTGGGAAGACTTTACTCTGAACGCGATTAAGCTTGGGAACTGTAAACGCCTCGCGAGCCCAAGCTGGTAGGGCAGTTATGGGAACAAAGTCGCCTTCCGTCGTAGGCTTCTGCTTTGGGGCAGGGACATGAATTTCTTCGTAACCCTTCTTCGCCCGCTTGAACGACCCATCTGGCAGTTTGCACTTCTTGTTCGACATCAAGTGCCCGCCCTGGCTAAATGCCATGCTATCGAGATCCACTGTCCGTTTGGGTTGGACGATAGAGCCCGGCGCAACAGTGGCCGTCTTTGGAACCTCAATCTTGGGCTCATCAACATCCATGGCATCTGAACGAGGCTTCGCTTGCCTGTCACCCGCCAGCTCTCGAAGGATCCACCCAACTCCCTTCTCGCGCATAGCAACCTCAACATTAACGCGTTCATCCGCGTCACTACGCATCAGTTTGGTACACCACACGACGACGTCGCGATTTTTGAGGAATTTGGCGGTGATGTAGAAGCTCTGAAAGTCGAAGAGTTCCATGAGCTGGTTCTCGCAGTCACGGGCACTGGATTCGGATCCAAGAATGCTGAGGACGGAGGTTGTCTTTTCCGCAGCGGTGACGGGGTCGGGGTAGACTTCGGATATCTGACGTTGAACCCAGAAACCGTCGATGGAATGTGGGGAGACAATGTCCTTGTCAGCTTTGACCTTCCGTGATGAGTCGCCTCCTATGATAAGCTCCTCCCCCGCACCATCCTCGACGGTTTCCTCAGGAGCAGCTTCCTGCCCCTCTTCTTCTTCCTCCGATTCTTCGGCAATCTCAAAGCCCTCCTCATCCTCTTCCTCCTGTTCCTCCTCGTCGAAGACGACGGCTACTCCAACTTCCTCATCAATCTCAGCATCCTTCTTCTCCATGTCGGGATCTGCCATAGACTCGTCTTCAGCGTTGTAATCCGTAATCTTCTTTGAAAGGCTGACGAGCTGTGAGAACTGCTCGCTCGGGATGGGACCAGTGACCTCCTCAATCTCCTTCTTTTTGTCGAAATCCTTCATCCCCTCGTTTTTGAGTGTCTCCAGCACCGAATCAGCAGCACTCCGCACAATGTCCTGCGCCTGGTCCCCGAGCGCAGTGTGAACAGAAGAAAGAATAAGTTCGTAGACTTCCCGCGTTTCCGCAGTTCGTGGACGATACGTGAGGCCTTCAACATCTTGCGTCGCCTCAATGATGTTCGCGTACCCAAAGCCTGCGGCAGTTTCGAGTTTGCGTTTGGCTGTCGGCCTCTCAGACCCATCGTTTTTGTCGGAAGACTTTTTCTTCTTCTTCTCGAGGTCTTTTGGGGCCTGTCGTACGACTCGAGAGCCCATTTCCCGAACGTCGATTCGGCCAGCAAGCGAAGTTGGCGCACCATCAGGCTCCTTGTCTCGACGCGGCAGAGCTGACCTATCCGCCGTCAAGACCAGCGACGAAATAGCGCCATAATTGTAGCCCGAAAGATCTGGTTTTCCGTGGCCAGCCATCGTTGTCGTCGACGTGGGCGTAAAGAGTTGTTGAAAATTCTGAGCGGAGCCGAAACAAAAATAATCTAGAATAATAATACTAGAAAATAATGCAAAATACTGCTCCTTCCGAACCCCATCACCACAACCCTCAAAGACTCTGGCAATCGCTTCTCAGAAAAGTATCGACTTTCTTTGGAGGCAAAAATTTAGCTCCTGGACTATATTTATATTTCCTGTCTTTATTTGGCGCGAACACTGAATCCCCGATGAATAGCTCTATCCCACAAGGTGAAAACTCGGATGTCGACTCACTCGCAGAGACTGCCGACCTTGTCTGCAGAGTTTCAGAAACGGTTAGCTCGGAATTTTATGCTTGGGATATAAATTATTGTCAAAAAACTCTCCACTCGCTTCTGGTAAAGGCCCCAGCATCCCCCCGTTGTCTAACGAAAGAAACCGGAGGCACACATGCTCAAACGGCTCGCAAAGGGAAAGGCAGAAGTCGCCCCAAGCGCGCTGATGAAGAAGTCGAAAATTTTGACATCACCGATGGTCCGGAAGGTTGTACCTCCACGATCGTTCCAGTTGAAGTGGTGAAACTCGATGAAGCGCTCAGACCTTACCCAAGCTACGAAACATGCACGCCCCTCACGCGCAGCATTTGCGTTGGCGATGATCCCCACCTCATGCCGTTCATGCCGTTTTCTGACGACCCAGAGTTCGACTATATGTCGTACAATGAACAATATAAGTTTTTCTTGTGGCAAATACCCAATCGCGACCCAGACTGTGCGTATCTCCTTCACTTACATCGACATTTAGCGCGCATTAATTTTTTCACTACCGAAGTGGAAGTTATTGTAGTTGAAATTGCACGCAGGTTACATTCAGAACATCAACTGTCCTTGGAGGCAATTGATCAAGTTGCTGTCCTTCCACTTCAGTTAGATCGACTTGTTGGTGTAAGTCGTCGGCGGTAAAGTTTCCACTTACTATCTCTATCTCCCTCTCGCCCAATAATATGACTCATAGTGATTATCCAAAATGGCTCGATTTCGAGCAAGCGACTTCTCTTCCATATCATTCCCCTTTCTCCACGGCTTCAGAGCACCCTCACGGACAGCTTCCCAATCTTTTACAATACTTCTGCAACAATAGCAGTTGCCTAGTTGGTTACTGTACTATCCATAGTACGTTTGACCACCAACGCTCAAACTCACCACTGACTTCTGTCAAGACGAAGAAATACCCATGCCTAATTTGATACCCCCTTCGGTTAGAAATAATGCGCTTATAGCTTCTGTGGAAAAACCATGCGGATCCCTGTGCTTCGTGCTTGGCGGCGTTTCCTCCTCGATTGCAAGTATAACAGATTCGTCGCTTTCTCACTAACATGTCTGATGGAAATCTAGCCCTCCGTGTGGACGGAAAGCGAGATGCAGACGCTGAGAATTCTCATGGACTACTCTCCCGACATATTACCATGCGATGCTGCTATTATTTGTCGTAAGCCTTGTCGAGAGGTAATACTTCGCCCTCACTTGGTCACTGAAACCCAAATTAACTCTCATCTCGCCGCAGGTATTCAAACACCGTCAAGACCCGCCAAAGACTAAAAAGAGCATCGGAAAGGCTAAACCGATCACAGGAACAATAGGTACTTGTGCACCCGTCTCAACTTGACTTGCCACCCCTCTGAAGCATACGTAGATCATGACGCAAAAACCTTTGTTCCGTGCGTTGATCTACCCATACCTATCCCCTGACCCCCAAGCTCTGATAATCATAACCAGCGATTATCCATGCAGTCACCCAGGTCCATGCGATGGACGAGCAGATTGCGCTTGTTTCCATAACAAGGCGCACTGCGAAGTTGCTTGTCGCTGTGATCTTTCTTGTACGTTTCCCAATTTCCTATCAATATCTTCTCATAATGAAATCACCACAGGTCCGCGCAGACGGCGGGGATGCCATTGCAAGAAAGATGTGACGGGAAAGTTGTGTTACAGCGCAAGATGCCCCTGCTACAGGGCGCACAGAGAGTGTGATCCAGTCCTTTGCGTGGATTGCGATGCCAGGTATGTATTCTCATCGTTTTCCTGCGCCGTGAACGTTATTGATTCGGTCCACATTAGATGTGGAGGTATACACGCACGAAAACTTCCGGTCGCAGAGCTAACTCCCTTGGCATGATTCAGATACTGCATCGGCCGCCTGCCAGAACGTCTCCCTTCAGCAAGGACGATTCAAGGTAAAACATACATTTCTCTACTTCACGATCACCCCTCTGATCTTGCCCAGCGCACCGAAGTCCGTCAAAGCCGGTGGGGCTTGGGTCTTTTCCTCGTAGAACCCGCCGAGAAAAACGACCTAATTTCAGGTACTGCCCCTCGATTCATCCAGGTTGGATATCTTCATGACTCTCCGCTTTCGCCATAGAGTATACTGGGGAACTGATATTAGATCCCACCCGAGAGTCACGAGAGTGCGTCTTTCCATTTTTTACAACATCTTTGGACATGGTGAACTGACGCTCCAACGCCCAGAATCGTCGCAACGCATAGAAACCGCAACTACGTCTTCGAGCTAAATTCCGCTTTCTCACTCGATAGCGGCGGTGCTGGGAACGAAACAAGATATATAAATCACCAAACTGGAGAACTGGCAAACTGTACTGCGAAAAGTGAGTGGCATCATGTCCACCCGTCTTTCTTTCTAATCCTGTCGCAACAGTTCGACTTGTAAACGGGGAACACCGAATTGGGATCTATGCTTGTGAGTTACAGTGATTGAGTCGCGTATTACCGCTTATGCTTCTTTTTTCAAGTGAGAAAGATCAAGCCAGAGGAAGAGATCCTCTTCGACTACGGGTCACATTTCTTTCAACATGGTTCTCAAAGAACTGCTAAAGCTGCGGACGAATAAATTATTCTATCAAGTAATTTTAAGCACCACTGGTTTGTAAGAGAAATGAAAGAGACACATGTATACGAGCTTTGAGCGGTCCCTGTACTCGAAGAACGATAGGTGTATAAATTACCACTACATTGCCTGTCTTTTCGCAGATTCCACCAGTTCGCCCTCCACTCCAGGGTCTAACAATTTCTTGTCCAGTCCTTCACCAACTTTAAATTCCTGAACTCGTCGAGCCGCAACGCCATGCTTATTCTTATAGAACACAATGTCGCCTTCATCTTCAATAAAAAGACACTGCGTGAACGACCGATACAACGCGTAGAAGGCAGGCTGAAATAAAAATCCATTTCACAAAATCAGCAACCCGTTTTCGATGACAAAACACAGGACGAACCGTAGAATCGTAGTTATAATCTTCCTTCAACACGCTTTTGATCGCCTTCGTAATTTCAGGTCCATTATCTGTGACGCAAAAAATGTCAGAGAGTCCGAGATTTCAGCTTCAAGAATGGAGGGTACGCACAGAAAGGTGCTCCAATGAAAAAATCTGCAACGTCATCAGACACCGGAGAAAAAATGAAACCACATGAAACGACACTTACGATGTGCAACGTGATCATGGCTTATATTATGGAAGAAAAACCTTCCGATCCAGCCAAGGAGGGGTCTATCAACCGTAGCAGCCGCGCCTCGGAGAAAGGTCCATTCTTTTTTCCTGTAGTGCGGGATTGTGGGGTCTGAGTGGTGGAGGTATGTGAACATGACTGTTCGAGGTAGTTGTTAGGCTTGGGGGCCGAGAAGAGGGCGGCGGACTTACCGATCCTGATTACGATGTATTAATTTTGGTGAGTTAGAATACTGCAGCTGCAAGAAGTGACGTACCAATGATTCGCGAGCTGCAAGGTTTTGTTGAGAGAAATTAACAATAGTTTGGGACGTTTCGACTTACGACGTAAGGAATGAAGTAACACCATAAGAAAAAATCACGGCCTAAAAATCCCAGAACGGTCGCGGTGATGCATAGACCAAGGTTAGACAGGATGATATATTTTCCTGCGGCCATATCACTTGGTGTCAAGAGAGAAAAGCAAGAGAAGACAAAAACCACACACGTTGCGAGGGTTTGAACAACGGCGAACTGGGGCTGAAATGATTAGTCCCCTTGGGATATGCCGCAGATCCCATAGCATTTCGGCTTTACCCATAATCCAATCATCAGGCCAAAACTATGTACAGGAGAAGGGAAGGCATACGCACGTCAAGTATATCCACCACCCACTTTTGTTTTTGAGGAAAATCAGCATGAAACCCCGGAGACGACTTTGAAGGAAAAAACGCACAATCCCTGCATGACAAGCATGTGAAGCAATGTGTAAAGCGGCGTCTCCTCAAAAACCTCCGAGTAGTCCGCGGCAGTCGCCGTCTTTTGGTCTGGTAAGCCTGGGAAGGTGAAGCGCGGGTACGGGACGTAGTTCTCGTCTCGTTCTATGGATGAGGTGGCTTTCTAAATGCAGGTTCGGTTTTATTTTGGTGGGCTTGACGGTGTAATGAGAAAATGGGTGACGTACATGATGAGTGTGGTGTGTCGCGCGCCATGCGAAATATGGGACGAAGAGGTACTAATTGTTGTAACGCGCAGTAATCAATATCGGGGTCATTCAGAAGTATATCGAGGGGACTCACGGAGTGAAGTATGAACCCGATGATATTATTCAGAACGACGTTGTCGTATAACGTTCCGTGACCCGCATCATGCCCTATTTATTGAATTAGACACTGTCATCGTCGTCAAAGGTGGAGAAAGCAACTACCGAGACAAAATATACCAGCGTTCATCAACCCCTGGAGCCACCAATACGCTCCCCACATCCCCGACTTCAATAGCGATCTCTTCCACCCAACGGAAACGTAGCCCCCAAACTCGGTCCCTGGAATGAGAGATGCGAACTTATACAAGAGGAGGGAGATAGATAAGTCCCGGAGGATGTACAGTGTTGATGTAAGTGGTCGTCCTGGAATTATGTGAGTGTGCTGTGTGGTGTGGTTAGGCAGAAGAGAAGGACTTACTTCGAAGGAGGTGTTTTGGAACGGCGTCGTGGATCTCTTTAAACGTTACGGTCGGCGGTGTAAATGGTTTGCGGAGTCTAGTAGTATGGTTGAATTAATAAGTCGTACGTTGGATGGAGACTGGAAGAATGAGCAAACGAACCTTGCTTCGTACTCTGGCCCATTTCGGAAAATCATTTCTGAGTCTGAGAGGGGCATAAGTATTTGGGTAGGTAAGGCGCAAGTGGATGGGTCCTTGAATCCTCTTAAGTGTATCGTCACTTTATGCTGCCGCCTGACCATGGTGTAGTGAGGATCCGCACCCTTGACTAGTCTTCCACGCGCTTCGGCACTGCCTGAGTAGGTAGTAAGTAGATCCTGATTGATCCACTGCTTCCACATCCTCGAATCGGTAGTCTTGAAACGCCCATTCGGGTAACGCGTTCTCCGGATTAAGAAATTGAGCACCAGAAGAGGATGCTTTGATCGGCTTGTCCGTAATAAGTTCTAATGTTTTGGCTCGAGATGCGTCCAGATCGCAAGCTTCGATTCAAACGTCCGGCGGCTTTCGGGAGTCGACGTGATCACTGTGGTAAGTATAAACCCCGAAAATCTGTTGAAGTAGATACTCCTTACGGCTCGGATTCGGAGTGCTTGTGGAAAACAGACTTGTCTTAAAACTTCTGCAATGTTATTCTCACCCTGAGGTAATACGTCAGTATGCAGCGGAAGGTACATACCGCGTGTAGAGCACGTATTACCCGTGGACCATTCTAGGGTAGGGTCAATCGGCGCGGTACTTCAAGCTTCAAGCTGAGGATCACAGTGGTAACGAACATCTGCGTCGAATATCACGGACATCGCGTTTACTAAGGATGTAAAATTAGTGAGAGGGTTTGATATCCGACTGATCTTGGAAGCGAGAAATTGCTACCCGATTGGATCCACACTTTGAGTAGCAATAGTAGGACTTGTTGAGTAGCAAGTAGTAGGACTTGGTTGGGCGCGTGGTTGGAAAGTTTCAAGTTTGGATAATAATGAACTAGAATGCGAGCGAAGATGACTTCCGAAGTGTAACTTGACCAAACTGTGGATGATCGTCGAGTAAAAGATTCAAAACAATGAGCCTGATGTCCGAGGTCATTTATTCTTACAGATTTACCATCTAACGTCCGTTCAATCTCGGGCCTTGCGCTTTCTGACGCTGAACAGGTACATTCAGCAGCTAATTTGTATCAGCAGTTCGATCGGGAAGATGAGGTGGCGTCTGGCCACTATGACTGATCGCCAAGCGGCATGGACATCGGTGGTGAATCCATGTTGCTCAATATTCAATGCGAGGGTGGTCGGAGGTGTTCGAGTGCGGAAGAGTTGAAGGGAGAGCGTGGGAAAGTCTCCTGGTCACCCAAATTCAACCCAAATTCTCAATCACTAGTACTCGATACAGATACATAACAGCGCCAGAAATATTTCAGCATTTCCAAAAATCATCGACACTTCTGGACTACTATCGCGGGTTTAATATTTTAGAGAGAAAAGCTCCTCAGTCTGAACGCCGCTGAAAAAAATTATGTTCACCAACACGTTTGAACAACTCACGGACTCCCCGGATATCTCTTGTTTAGGCTGCCCTCCAAAAAAAAAGGTGTGGAATGACTCGGCTACTGATGGGGCATCGCGGATTGAGCGCGGAACCTTCAGAATCAAGCTATAGATCGCTTTTAGTCTGCTGCTCTCCCAGCTGAGCTTATGTCCCCTTTAACCACTAAATTTTTCTTGTACAACAAGCAGAATTAGAGGAATGAAGAAAAAATTATGAGCTCCTAAAACCACGAAAGAGCGGATAAAAATACCAAAGATAAATTAAGATGGGGGCACCGCGGATCGAACGCGGGACCTTCAGAAATCAATATTGAATAGACTCCGATCTACTTCAGTCTGCTGCTCTCCCAGCTGAGCTATGCCCCCTTCTCAATCGAAGCCCAAACGGACGATGTACCTAGAATGTCCTGGTTGACAGGAGGGTTAGTTCGAAGCGCTAACACTTGATAAAGTAGTAGATGATTTATGAGGAGGCGCCTTTAAGAAAATGGATAATCACATTCATCGCGAGTCAGGCGAACAGCATATATAAGTCGAAAACAGTGAAGTAAATACCCGGTGTGTATGTGCATTATTCAATATACGTAGCTGTCGTGTCGCGATTAGTGACGAGCATCTATCCGGATCCAGGACAAGGGAAGGTAAATCCGCATAGCCGTGGAAGGGGCGGTAACTCGTAAACTGACCAAGAAAAACACGCTCGGGGCCCAACAGCCTCAACAGCCTACTTATCCCCCCACCTAGCCAAAAACGCACTGAAATCTCTCGACCTCTTCTCCCCTCTTGCGTTCCCAACTCCAGGGAAGCCTCATTGGGAAACCACCACCATTGCCAAAATCACCACCGCATAGGGGTTCAACAGGGAATCCTTAATCGAGAAACCCCTATCTCTGCTTCGGAATAACGTTCTCAGCTTGCGTATGCGCGTTGCTGAACGCGGGTGGCGAAGGTGATGGAAGGGAGGGCGACTGCTGCCCGTGACCTGGATTAGGAGGAGTTGGGGCCACCGGTGTTGGGGAGGTTGGTGGTGATGAGCCGGTCAGGTGCAGGGGCGGAGGTACGGCTCAACGGTTACGACGCCAATTCGAAGTTCCTTCATTCGAGCGAGTGTAGTTCTTTGACTTTTGCACGCGTAGAGACCTCCCTGCAGATCTGCCTCTTCGTCGTCTTGGTTTGCTAGAGGAGGAGGGGCGGATACAAAGTGCCTGGAGCCTTCTTTCGATTGCTGGGATTGAGAGTGAGAGTGAGATTGCGAACGAGAGCGAGACCCCAATGAAGACGTAGCCGAAATCACCCCACCAGTACCACATTCTCCAAAAAGAACGCCAGGAGACCTTGCGGGGTTGTACGGCTGAGGCCGTTCTTCACCTGATGATGACGAGTTGGGCCGTCAATTGATGTGTGTGAACTATCAAAGGAAGATACGGGACGAGGACAGGGTGCGTACTGGAGCCCAGTGAAAACCGGCTCTGCACCGTTCCGCAGATATCGATGGCGGAGGACAAAATCGGCGAGAATCCGCACCTGACTGTGATTCCCGGCATCAACCGAACACGGACTTCTTTCCACAGCGTACTTACTTTTTTTCGACTCGACATCAACCTGTTTTACAACAAAGTTCTTTCTTTCCATTCAAAACTCTGTTTGCAAGCCGACGGATTATATATATCAGATACCCTCAAATGATTCCCATTTCCCCTCTTTCCTTCCTTCCCCCACTTTCCCCTTCATTCTGTCTTCCAGACTGCAGGACATCCAACATCGTTTCGCGCATCCCTCGGCAAGCCCCTCGTGGACCTATCAGAACAATGAGGGTACGTCATCATGGGAGTTCAATGTGGTGGGAATCGTGCATTTGATTCGCCGTAAGTGCCTTGTTGTTCAAATGACTAAATCCTCACGTTCATGTAGACAAGCCGGCCGTACGCGTTCTCTCACACAATAACATCTCGGTGAGTAGTTTTTTTGGCACAGTCAGATATAGTTCTGACCGTTTATCATGCATATATGCGCCCTATTTTTGCTCAATCCTGCTCGGCGGCGCCGCATTTACCAAGGTGCGTGACTTTTCAGTCCAGGTTAGCGCTAGCTCGCAAACTAATATCCTTCCTTCCGTGTTCCATCCCTATACACAGCCGCTTCGGGGTAGAGCCTTGTCAGTCGAAGGGACGGATGGTCGTGGACGAGAATTATGAGCCGTTCTGACAATCAGCGGTGCGGGGGTCTAGGTGGATGGGGATGGTTTCAGTACTGGGAATCGCAGATAGTAACGGAATATAGCACATTTCTGAATCAATACAAAATATTCACCAGCTACAGACAACAACCGCAAAGTGCAGCTGCAGGCGGAAAGGAAGCGATTTAAGCAGAAATTTCGGCCATTCGTATCAAAATGGTGACTTTCAAGGCGGAGCCTCGCGGAAAAAAATCCGCAAAAGGGACAAAATCCCAGTCTACCAGCGCCTTTCTGCTCTGCCGACGATCTCCGATATCTGCCGGGAATCCGCAGATACTTGCGGCTGATAACAGAGCCGGTTTTCACTGGGACTGGAGCCCCATGCAGTTTAGGCCGAGTGGATTTATGCGAAGGGTGTTGTCATTTGGCAGGAGGGCTTGCTGGGCTGGGAAGTGGAGGGTAATTTGAAGGGGATGTGATTGTGCCGTAGGTTCACCGCCATTTAAAGGACGCGTTGTTATCGTGCAGGGCTCTGCGGAAAGCGGGGTCAGATTAATCCCTCAAATAGTGAGTGAAGCGGGCCATACTTCGGAGAATCACTGGTGGCCCAGGAAGAACGTGGAATGAGAAGAAGGTAGAGGTCGTTTGAGTTCCGGCCCTGGCTGAAACTAGGGACGCGCAGGAAACGATATTCAACAGCTATTGTGTCGCATCCGTGTCTCCAAGGACTGAGTACTTCGTACTGCATGGTACATGCTGAGCGCTGAGCTTGAGTACTTGAGTTCCCGATGTCAGCGACGGAATCGCAATACACACCTTTCAAAGCTCCGCTGGGTCCATCCCTCTCAATTCTCAACGCCTTGAATGTATCAACCGTACCTCCAATCTTCGAGGCCCGATGCAGTGATCGACTCCGAATCCATAAGATGGTAATCACCGTGACTTCTAGACCTGATCCGTGAATTTTAAAAAACAAGGTACTTCATGGCCTTGCTTGCTTGGAAAGCCGGTGCGACTCGTCGGTAGTGCAGATTCTTGGTTACTGCGTTGATGGTGGTGGAAAGAAACAACGAGGAAGACAAACAGTGATCAACAGGAATTTGATCGACGTCAACGTCGTCCTCGACCACCATCATCATCTCCGCCAACTTCTACCGTTCGCCCGCTTGGGATTTACACTCATTTTCTCTCAAATTGAGACTCGAGCTGCCCAGCTCTCCTGCTTGACACTTACTCAGGTGAAAGCGCATTCAATTGCTCACTGATTCACGGTGTCAAGCTCACAGGAATCGAAGGTCCACCGCACCAGGGATGTACGATGCGGGATGGGTCTATAGCAATTTGGTAGCAGCAGTGCGTATCTATACATCCATATTTATTCAGCTTCTTTTTTGCTTACAACCCTCGTCTCTCTCCGTCAGTGAGGCCATGTCAGTTTTGGAAACCCTCAACTGAAATGAGAGATCGACGGTTGTGAATATAAAGGCTACGTATGCGACTCTCTTGTCGCTGAAGTTTACGGTACGTGCCCTATTTCATCAACTTGCTGCAAAATGCCCATCACACTTTCAGGACGACGAACGATGGAACGTAGGTCTTCACGGCGCAGAGGAGAGCAACCTGTGGTAATGCTGTTCTCCATGTGCTGTAAGGCCCATGTCGAATCTTGGAGCAACCCAATAACTGAACAACTTTGGAACGAGTAGGATCAGAGTCCCCCAGCCGTGGAAGGATTGAACGTCAATTCGAAAGCCTTTCTTGCTCTTGATACGACATAACTGGTCCCTCTTGACGATGAGCTAATGGGTTGGTCTTTTGTAGGATCCGGGACGTGGTGAGGCCCTTGCAGAGATCAACCTTGCGGCTCCATCGTTTGTCGGATGCCGCATGGCTATTCTTCCCTCATTTAGCTGAGGCGCTCATGGACGTCAGTAGCATCATACAGCTCATGTCGTACCACCGGCGCTCGTGCGGATTAGTGTCCAGAATACTTGGGTATGGAGAGCCGGGAGGGCAATTCGAGGTCAGTGACAGAAATGGAATCAAAACGACGGGAAGTGAGGCGAGGTTCTGCTGGTCGTCATAAACACCTGGTTTAGGACGCTGGGTTAGGTCCATCCGCTCGTCTTTTGCAATTATATATACTTAATATTCTAGTAGGCTGGATTTGATGTTGTTTTGAATATGTGAAATAAAATGCCGCACTCTCTTCTCTTCGTCCCGTTCTGTCCTTTGGATTCGTTGACGCTACTGCGCGTAGACCTCGGAGCGCTGTTCTTGTTGGGTCCAGGCCTCGACCAGGAACATCAACTGACCCCGTGAAGCGGTCCGTTACCCATTCTGAAAATTGACGCCGCACAGCATTGACTTACTCTTCTGAACCACGATGTCTAATTTCAATCTCCCCCGCGAAAAGCGTTTGAAAGGAAAGTTCAAGGCATTGCTCGATCGTTTCACGGGCGCAGATCGCTTACATGATGAACATCCTAGCGGTTCGAGGTCCGTGTCGCTGAACCCCACCCACAAATAGCATCCTGACAAAATATAGGTCAACGTTTACAAGGGCGCCAGAAGTTACGGGAGAGCGCAGTACCTCTCTGGTGTGTTTACAATGCAAACAACTTCATCGGCTCATATCCTTTGTATTCGGGCACCCTAGCATGTCCTGCAGGGAGTTCGCAACGTTGTTATGAGGGATTCCAATTTCTACGTGGCTCAAAAGGTATGTCCGGTGATTACATCCATAACTGGTTTGGAATATTGATTGGACTTTTTGTCAAGATTGATGTTCATGAACATGGGGGTCAGGATGATATGGCATCGGGAACACATCATGACATTCAGGCAGTACGTGTCCCTTGGGTTCATTCAACGTCGTTTTGCTGACCTTCTGTCGTCCGACTAGTCAGTTTTTTGGTGTCTCGAAAACTTATCATAGTCCTTACCGCGAATCGAGTTAGATGCCCCTACTCGTGCAACACATTTCACGTTGTGGCTTTCATAAGCGACCGTCTTGTCGGAGGTTCAAGGTATGTCTCTATCACTGACTTTCTTCGGAGCTCCTGATCATGCATCTTACAGTTCACCTTGCATGGAATACCTCAACTCACGCATTTAGCACGACGATATAAACAACGTCTTCATGGTGGGAGAAGACGCTAGTTCGGTTTTGTGCACAGCCACAGCCACGCATTCACAAGAAATCAAGACCCGGCGACCTCCCTCACGCAAAATATGAGCACAGTGAGTGTCTTTTCTCCGCCAAAGTGTGCAAGGAACCTTTGCGAGGTTTCCATGCCCCGAAAGAACGGAAGAATTGCTGTGGAAGGGGTGGATTGGGTTGGATGGGGTTGGATGGGGTTGGTCTTGTCGGAGACGATCGTGGTCAGAAGATCTGTGCTGACGCTGTTTTTGCCTTAGGAGTCCTAGTCAAACTTCAAGCGCTTTGTCGAGTTTGGGCCAGGGTACGTCGTTGTGAAATTAGATTTCTCGAGAAACATTACTGATTCCGTTGAACAGTCGTCCTCCTCAAATCTGGCGCCTTCTCCGGAGAGATCGTCGTCATCGCGGAGATCATTGACCACAACCGCGTATGTCTCCTCAGAATGAACCCGGAAGCTCACTAAATTTCACGCAGGCCATCATCGACGGCCCAACAACGGGTGTTTCCCGCCAATCCTATTACTACAAACACCTCACCTTGGGCACAGAAGCGGGTCGCAGTACAGAAGAGACGAGTGTTTACCCATTTCGGTCGCTGGAGCGCCATGATGGCGTGCTTCCTCGCATATCGCGAAAGTCAACCATACGACAACTCGATTTTGCCAACAAACGAATTGGTGACGTAAACGCGGTGGTATCGACGACAAACGGAGGGGGAGTTTTTGTGGTTGGTCTACGGTACGTACCCCTTATGTTCGCCACATTTGAAGCACACGACGTCTGATTGTGCAACCTACAGTTCGCTTGGCAGACTGTGGTCCCATTAAACTCAACTCGGGTGTCTGATATCTTCAGGCTGGAGACCTCCAACCATGTGTTCGGGACAACGAACGATGGAACATGGGTGCTCGCGGATGGCGCAGCATAGGCTAGTCGTCCTGTGGTTGAAGGTGAGCGGTTGAAGCTTAGGCATCCATGGTTCGAATGACGATCTCCGTCTAAGGCACCTCAACTGCCAGGAGCGATGCAAAGGGCGGTTGGCCTGCACGTACGAACTCCTGCGTCGGTCGTCTGGCCCGTGCTCAGTGACGATCCTATCATCCGGTTCTCCTTTGAGGCCTTCCTCTGTGCTTAGGACTGCAGCTCCACCAACAGGTCGCCTAACGACAACAACCTACCACCAAGCTGACACTTCATGTGCTTCCAAGCCCGTTTCGAATCTTGAACCCAGCAAAACACCTCATGACCTACGATCAACAGCGCCTGAGTTCTACCTGTCGAAGTACTGAACGTTACGACAGAATGGGTCGTTCTGCCGCAACGGGTACTTATCCCTGCTCGTGCGGATTAGTAACGAGGTTAGTGGGGCGGGCAAGAAGGAGAGCTGGGATGTGAAGCAACCTGAGGATGGATGACAGGAGGGGGAGCTAGATTGGCGTCTAGCGAGATAGGTGAAAGAGCCGGCTTGTCTTCTATGTTTGAATATTCGTTATAAGTGGAGGATCTGCTGCTCTTGCGAATATCTGAAATAATCCGCTTGTTTGGCTTCCCTTTCTCGTTGACCACCGTTTTCTCTAGCGCCTCCTCGCTGACTTGACGCCCAACCACCGCGCACCTTTTTCAACAGACCGATGAATGTCAGCTGACCTTGTGAAGGGCGAAAATTCAAATTGACGCCGCACAGCATCGACACTCTCTTCTGAACCACCATGACTGATTCTGGTGTCCCCGGCGAAAATCGTTTGAAACGCAAGTTGGAGGAATCGCCCAATCAACCTCCAAATAAACGCCTTGGCGGGTTGAGGTTAGAGATCATGATCCCACGGCACCAGATCGCATTCTGACAAAATGTAGGTCGACTTCTGCAAGGGTGCCTGAGGCTGCAGGGGACGGGACGTCTCTGGTATGTACTTACAATACACAACCAATTTTTTTTGCTCACATCCTTTGCTTCGGGCACCCCAGCATGTAATGCAGGGGGTTCGCAACGTTGTTATGAGGGATTCCAATTTCTATGTGGCTCAAAAGGTATGTCCGGTGATTACAGCGTGAATGGTTTGGGACATTGAATGGACCTTTTTGTCAAGATTGAAGTTCATGAACATGGCGGTCGGGATGATAGTACACTCCTTGTAAGTTGTTTTCGCAAAGACGCAATTCAACTTATTTACGAATCGTTGAGGACATCCTTGAGAGGCTGTTATCCTCTACTCGTGCGGATCAGGTCGTGTTGGAGCATAAGAAGGAACTAGAAGATCTCAAAGCAAAACTGGAAGCTAACCTCTCGATCGTCAAGCAGTATCGGAAACACAACATCGCGAGCGCATTACGTAACCGACTTGATGTATTCTGCACGTCCGTCGCTTTTTCATGTTTTTTTTGTCATGTTTATACCCATTAATGTTTTGCAGCGCTATCACCACACAATTGAACTCAATGGAGGACATGCAGAAGCAGTCACCGAAGGATGCAGATACAATACTGAAGGCAATTCGGAACATCAACAGCCTGTGTGACGTCTTTCAGGTTGGTTTTCGAGTCATTAACAAAGCTTCACGTGGATATTGAGCCCTTCTCAAGATGGATACTCAACTGAATATCGAGGGAATGGTAGGCGATATTTTACAGGTACGGTACTCTCGCTACTTGTAGGCGCAGGAGCGGCGCTGATGAACAAGCCCATAGCACCTGAACTTTGGTGAGATAAACTATCCCAACAGAAGCTAGCTTCTTGGTGCTCACATGCACACAGGCTCCATCGAAAAACTCAATCACGAAACGACATCCTATAAAACTCGACAGTCGTCTTATGGCGATCCCAGCGGCTGCATGCAAGGGACCCGCGTGAAGATCCTCGAAAAATTGGACGCTTGGGCCTCGGACGTCAAGAGTTGCAAGGTATACTGGATGGTAGGTATGGCTGGAGTCGGAAAATCGACGATCGCGCACACATTCTGTGAGAACCTCCAGGCGAAAAACATTCTTGGTGGCAGTTTCTTTGCTTCTCGAGCATCTGAGAAAACTACGAACGCACGCCTTATTATTCCTGTTATTGCGCATGCGCTTGCCAGATCTTCACCTGCTGTCAGAGTTGAGGTCGTCAAGGCCATCGAGGATGACCCTACTCTTGCGGAACCGACCTATATCAATATGAATGAGCAATTCAAGCGACTCATTTATCATCCTGTTCAAACGACCGTCGGCGTGGTGGATAAAGTTGTTGTTATTGATGCCATTGATGAATGTGCCAATCTTGAAGTCGTCGCTTTGTTAATTAAACTTGTTCTTGGATGGGCATCAAAAATTCCTCTCAAGATATTCCTGGCTAGTCGAGATGAGAATCGGATTCGCACTGCCTTCAGGTCTACTAGCGATAGCATTCGAGGGTACTTCTATCTCCATGATGTCGAGAAGGACGTGGTTGAGAACGATATTCGGATATATCTCAGGACATCATTGGCCCACATCAAGGATGACGAACTGTCCGGTCTCGTCACAAATTCCGGCAGGCTCTTCATTTATGCAGCAACTGCCGTTCGGTATATCACCAATGGTGGTGAAGACTATAAGCGCCGTCTTTCCGCAATGCTGGCCCATGGCCAGAAATCCATCAACAAGTTCAAAACCGAGATCAATTCTCTCTATGTACATGTCATGGAAAAGGTCTGTGAAGACAAGGAGCAGGATGAAGTTGATGATATGAGAAACATCTTGTCGATCACCATATTCCTTTGAAATCCGTTGTCGATGAAAGCCATTACATCTCTATCACGGGAAAGCAATGCACAGTCATATTTGTCATGGCTCACCTCTGTTATTCACATTCCTGATCAACCAGGGGCCATGGTTGCTCCATTCCATGCCTCATTTCCTGACTTCATAACTGATCCCAAACATTGTTCTCCTGGGCGTTGCCCATCATTCCCTTTGCTGGTTGCTTCAGAGGGTCATACACTGATAGCTCTCAAATGTCTAATGCTGATGAACAAGTCACTGAAGTATAACGTGTGCAAAATCCCCAAAGAATGGACATTGTCGTGCAGATACAGGGCCAACTCTCCAAAAAATGTTGGCAAAAAGCACTCAGATACTCATGCATCTATTGGGCTGCTCATTTAGCAGAGGTCAAGGAATTTGACGCCATACTCATTGATGTTCTTTGTGTTTTTCTGCACAAGCATCTTTTGCACTGGATAGAGTGTCTCAGCATACTGAGTGAGCTGCAGACAGGACTGAAATCCCTGGGTAGCATAGTCACTGTTTTATCAGTAAGTCATTTGCCAAAATGAGGGAGGGGACATTGTGAGTCTAATAATTTTGTGATTGACAGGACCCAAAATTCCATGACCTTCAGACACTTGTTTACGATGCCCGGCGGTGTTTACAAATGAACTTTGAAGCTGTCCAGAAACATTGCATGGAGATCTATGAGTCAGCACTTATTTGGATTCCAAACAATTCATTGATACGCAAGACCTACACCAAGGGGGGTACACAATTTTAATTTAATATATCATGCTGATTTCGTAAGGCCACTATGGCAGGACTAACTAACCAGCGTGCGAATAAATTACCATATATAGGTAAAGTCTATAAATAGGTACCGTGTTTTGGGCGTTGTGTCAGCTGCCTACACTGCGCGCCTTCGTTTGCCGCCCCTTCCTCTGCTTTTTTCTATGCTCTTGCATGGGTCACAAACCCAGTTGTTGACACCACAATCCAGTCCAACGCACGAAAGATGGTACTGCATAGTTAGTGGTGAGTAGTAGGCAGAAAATGACACGAAAAGAAATGACTTACCCACAATGTCTCACAGCCTTTTCGTCTGCAGATAATTATTCTGCTTTCGTCGTCAGCCTCAACTTCGTCTATACTCTTGCCGCAATCACACACTCTCACAAGCTTTCGTTTACTGGTGTTCCTCAAACCTTCTCGTAGGCTTCTCAGGTCCGAGTTTGCAGAGGCAGTGGGTATGTTGAGATCTGTAGCAAATCCGTGAGTTCCTTGCCCATTCCCACTGTTGGTTCCTGTGTTGATGGCTTCTAGCTCATCTGCACGTAGGCCAACTTTTTGTGCGACGACGGCTGAAACAACTGCATCGGTCGCATCAAGCATCTCGTCTGCAGGTAGCCTGACCTCTTGCATGATGACAGCTGGAACAACTGCGTCGTTCGTGTCAAGTGTGTCTCCATCATTGGAAGGACAATGGAACAGGTAAGTGAGGAGAGCTCGTCAAACACGTCAGAGAGCGCACCAGTCCAATCTAAGCTCATCCGGTCCGTAAATTACCCGAAATTGGTACTTAAAATAAAAAAAATTTAACGGTCTGGCGGCCGGACTAACTAACCGGCCCCATATGGCAAATTCAAATCCTGCTCCCCCCTTGACCTACACTGCCAATGTCAGCAGAGTTCCAAAAGTTACTCATGGATTATCGGACTCATGGGACCCTGCAGAGCTGATTATGCAAAATGGGTCACTAGTACCATCTGTCAGATTCTCACAAGATGGCAGCCAAGTCGTCTCTGGATCATGGGATGAAATGATCCGAATTTGGAATGTGATGACAGGCAAGGTGGAGGCTGAGCTGAAGGGCCACACATCTTGGGTGAACTCTGTTGCATTCTCGCAGGATGGCAGCCAAGTCATCTCTGGATCAAATGACAAAACAGTCCGAATTTGGAATGTGACAACAGGAGAGGTGGAGGCTGAGCTGAAGGGCCACACAAATGATGTGAACTCTGTCACATTCTCGCAGGATGGCAGCCGAGTTGTCTCTGGATTGAATGACAAAACGGTCCAAATTTGGAATGTGACAACGGGCCAGGTGGAGGCTGAGCTGAAGGGCCACACAAATGATGTGAACTCTGTCACATTCTCGCAGGATGGCAGCCAAGTTGTCTCTGGATCAGAGTGACAAAACAGTCCAAATTTGGAATGTGACAACAGGACAGGTGGAGGCTGAGCTGAAGGGCCACACAAATGATGTGAACTCTGTCGCATTCTCGCCAGATGGCAGCCAAGTTGTCTCTGGATTGAATGACAAAACAGTCCAAATTTGGAATGTGACAACAGGCCAGGTGGAGGCTGAGCTGAAGGGCCACACAAATGATGTGAAATCTGTCGCATTCTCGCCAGATGGCAGCCGAGTTGTCTCTGGATTGAAGGACAAAACAGTCCAAATTTGGAATGTGACAACAGGACAGGTGGAGGCTGAGCTGAAGGGCCACACAAATGATGTGAACTCTGTCACATTCTCGCAGGATGGCAGCCGAGTTGTCTCTGGATCAGAGGACAAAACGATCCAAATTTGGAATGTGACAACAGGAGAGGTGGAGGCTGAGCTGAAGGGCCACACAAATGATGTGAACTCTGTCGCATTCTCGCTAGATGGCAGCCGAGTTGTCTCTGGATCAGAGGACAAAACAGTCCGAATTTGGAATGTGACAACAGGACAGGTGGAGGCTGAGCTGAAGGGCCACACAATTGGGTGAAATCTGTTACATTCTCACTGGATGGCAGCCGAGTTGTCTCTGGATCAGAGGACAAAACAGTCCGAATTTGGAATGTGACCACAGGCAAGGTGGAGGCTGAGCTGAAGGGCCACACAGATTGGGTGATGTCTGTCACATTCTCGCAGGATGGTAGCCGAGTCATCTCTGGATCACACAATGATACAGTCAGAATTTGGAATCTGACGATGGGCAATTCTCAATCAATACTCACTTCAGACATCACATTGCCGGACGGCACCAGGGTGAATAAAACTTCCCCTGGGCAATTCCAGATTTTTTATCCCTCACAGCAACCAACACTCAGTATATATTCCACTACCCAGCTCTCGAATAAGGGTGACTGGATAATGGCCAAGCTCCGTCACTGCTTTATCCCCTCCCAATATCGCAACTTTCACTGTTCCTCAATTTGGGGCTCCCGAATATGTTTGGGATATGAATCTGGCCGTGTAGTCATTTTTGATTTAGATGCAGCACTATGAATAGTATCAGCATGTTTTTACATATTGCCTGCATTGATCAATGATCAAAGAGTCCAGTTCCTGTTTGTTAAGTAGAAAAATACTTCAAATGTCTTGTGCACATGGAAATTAAAAGCACTGGGACTTTACTTGTATGTGGCTGAGTTTGGCCCTCTGAATGATTTGAATTGTGGGGCAGGAGGTTTTCGTGAACATTGTAAAGTATTTAAACCAAACCAATGAAAGAGCACACAAATTTACAAAAATTAAAAGGAGACGAACGCAGCTAGAATCTCACAAATTATTTGAGTTACTTCATAACGGCGGTCGTGACCCTCTCAAACTGTTCCAGCCGCCCCCACTACATTCATGCAATCCTCCTACCTCATGTCTTCAATCCGGCCCTTGTCCTTGCATGGCAGTTACGGCGCAGAGGATGTTCTGTCGACTGTCGTCACAATACAGGCACAGGCAGGGGAGACACAATGTCCCAGAACTGCACGAAGCAAAAGAGACAGGTTGGACGTATATGATTGTATGACAGCCTGGCCTGTGGTAAAGGAATGCTTGCGATTTGAGTGGTTCATATCCGGCACAGTATTCAGAAAAACTGGCTATGTTAGAATAGGGACTTACAGCTCGGAGGGGACCAACTGACAAGGACTAGCTTTCTAATCGTTCGGAGGTGGGTTCTACTTCCCTTAATTGAACGATTATGAATGTACGAATCTCGTCGTAAATGCATCCCGCTCGTGAAATCCCCATCGGCTCGTGTGGGTATGAATAGAGAGTTGCCGGTAGCAGCAAAGTGTAATACTCGCGGCCATTGTCTACACCTAACCTTTTGCGAAATGTAAGCTCAACTTGACCCCTTGAATAAAGGACGAAGCAGAACGTACCTCTGAGGAAATATCTGTAGTCACTGAGACTTCGGTAAAGCTTTGGCATAGAGAATACAATACGTTGGAAAAGGAGCGGAAGGAAAAGGTGAGGCCTGCGATGATGACGAAGGACAGGCTCACCAGTTTTCACCTTTTGAAAAAGAGTTTAGGAACGCAAGGTTCGAAGCAGGAGAATAGAGACTCACAATGTGAGAGAAATATCATGATGACAAGATAAGATTGGCAAAGCCCTTCTTGAAAACGGTTGGACTCCGAAGGGCAATGCGAAGCTTGACTCTCGAGTTGGGAGGAGGGTGTCCTGATGGAAAGGGATACAACGGCACGTTCAAGTGTAATTGTAAATAACGGGGATTCCAGGCTACGTACGGCTCGAACGACGGCGTTTTGAACTCTTCCGTGAATGCAATTAGCTTTCAATTTTAAACCGGCGCAGTGCGTACCCATTGGTTCTCGCGAACACTGCCAGCGTTCCGGTGAATGGTGGGGGAAGGAGAAGAAGAGAACATGAACTTCCGAACATCAGTTAGTTCAAATTGGTGGGAACAAGCACGGCGTGCCTTGCCCGCCATTCCTACTTCATGACACCCTGAACGTGTAGCAACCACAGAGCAAGGCTAAGGTGCTGGATTTTCGAGGTGAAGCTTTGGTGAAGCTCTACAAGATGATGACAAACGTTGATCAACGATGTGACCATCGTCAACGTTGTCCTCAACCATCATCTCCACCACGAAGCTTCTCCGCTTTATATTCAACTCGGGTCTGAATGGCAGGAAGTTAAGACGCGTCTCGTTCAAGGTGATTGGTCTGATTGATATTGTCCTTGACCACCACCCTCATCTACGCGTCATCTTTCCTAGCCCTTACCTACCGTTAGCGCGCCACGGCTACGGTTGTACAAGGCCTGAAAACGTCTTTTGGATTCGTAAGGTACGTCCATGGTCTATCACCTTCTAAGCGCTGATTTTCTGACAATACATTCGTCAGTGTCGTGCCATCCCTTCGGGCTCTATTCACGCTCATTAGGGATACGTTCAGGTCCCTACGATAATGTGCTGAGAACAACTTGTGGCATGAGTTTTTAATGAGGCACAGAGGAGAGGGTAGTTGGACTCGACGCGATGTTGTATTTCAGGTACGAGTGCCATTTCCTCAACAACCATGTCCCTACTCAGACCACCTGCATTTCCAGAACCGACGCCGAGGGCGGTTCACCAGCCCAGCCCATTGAAACTCCAGCCCGCCCATGCTCTGCATTGACACTGTCCTACCACGTACATCGATCAACAAATGTTCCACGTTCAACACACATTCTAGGCCGACACAGCGTCGCCAATCGTTCACTTCAACAACAAGATCCGACATATTCAATTTTTTCATGATGTTCCAAACCTCTCGATGTTCAATCTCGAAACCTTGACTCTCACTGTGCCTTCGTCTTACCCTTCAAACTTCAAATTTCTGATTGCGTAACGAGAGGTCTATGTATGCTCTTGCTTTGCCTCCGGTTTCTCAATGACGAACTAACGGGTTGCTTTCATAGGCTTGATGACATGGCAGTCGGGCCTGTCCTTCAAATCATCAATGAGCCAACATCGATGTGAGAGATACTTGTAGCAGAGCATTCGTTGTGATTCCTCGTCAGACTTACCAAGCTCTTATCGGCGACGGACAGCAAAACATACAGTGCGCAGATCATCAACGTCGCCATGTACATTTCAAAGAGGGCGAGTGGAGGGCCATAACGGTTTGAACTACGAGATGCCGTTCTGTCGAAGGGGTGATCGTGTATAGGGCAGTGCATATATAGACGTAGGCGATACTTTTTATAAACTACAGCTAACGAGGTATTGATAGACCATATTCCAAAACACTCCGCTTAGTGATTTTATTTACTTTTGGAGCTGACCAAACAACTACGGCCAGCCATTTGGTGGGCATTGCCTTCCCGCCCCTTCTCACTTGTTGCATATATAGTCATAGATTCCCAGTAAGGTTATTTGCACATACCCTGAGGCTCCACAAGTAAACAAAATCACTAAGCGGAGCGTTTTGAAATTTGGTCTATCGATACCTCGTTAGCTGTAATGACGAGGATATTGGTTAATAGGAGAGCTGGAGGAAGGTGCAATGGGTCGTGACAGAAGAGCAGTGAACGTTTGAACGTTTGAAGGGGTACCTAATTCCCCAACATTTCCCAAACCCCAAGTTCAAACGCTCCTCAACCTCCCAATCAAGATCAAAGTCAAAAACTTCCTCCCAATCACCCTCCCTCCAATCGCCTTCGTCAGCCGCGTTCAGCGTCAGCCAGGCTTAGATCGTTAGTCCAAGCACCGTCGAGCAGGGCCAGGGGTTCTTCAATTTGGAGGATGAGCTGCCTGTTCTAGAGGCTGGTGGACGGATCGGTGCACCTGGTGGCAGTTTCCCAATGACAGGAAAGGTGGAATGTGAGATGTAAGGGTGTGATGAGGTCGATCAGACGCAGACGCGGAGGTATGGCTTGAAGAAGACCGATTATGACGTGAATCTGAGGTTCCTCCGTTCGAGTGAGTGCCGCTTTTTGATTTCTCGCGCGCGTAGAGGGTCCCGCCGAGATCTGCATTTTCGTCGTCTTCTGCTGCTGTTGGAGGAGGGGCGGATACAAAGTGCCGAAACCGTTTCTCGAGTGCTGGGATTGAGTGTGGGATTGGGATTGTGAACGGGAGTGAGACCCCGAATAAGATGTAGCCGTCGTCCCCCCACCAGCACCACTAGGCCGCTTCAGCGACGCCAACCCACCACTCCCCTGAAACCCTTCAAGCTCCTCCCCATCGCCAACAACACCAGCCTCTTCAGCTACTTCCTCGCCTTCCTCCGCTGCCTCCTCTCTTCTTTTTCCTTCAGACGCTTCTCCGCCTGGATGGCTTCAGTAGCTTTGGAGACGGAAACTTGTTGGATGGTGGATACGTCTAGCAGAGCGGCGTTAGAGTCGAAGGTCTACATAGTTTGCGTTGTTGTGGGTGTGCTACCTGGTGACGAAGGCGGAATAAGGGCCCAACGACCTCGTCGTCAGCGTCACCAGCTGGCAGTTGGATAGGTGGTCATCTAAAGAGGTCAAACACAGACAACTTTATCCACCATTCCTCTCCCCCGCATCTTCCGTTTTTGTCCCCCACCCTTGTTCCTCTTCCAGGGTTGAATGCAAAGGAAGCTCTCCCCCCCTCCGAAGAGTCCGATAGGAGACCTTGCAGCTCGTCCACGCGCGCGGGGGATGGCGCACGGCTCTAGCCGTTTTTTCCTAATGACGAGGAGTTGGGCTGTTGATTGGTGTGTAAACTATCCGACAAAGAAGCAGGGCGCAGGCAGGGCATGCATGAACCCAACGCAATCCAAGACGTGTCGGTACATGAGAATGGTGTTGTCATTTTGCAGGAGAACTTGTTAAGTTCGGAAGGGGAGGGAAATTTGAAGGGAATGTGATGGTGACCAATCTGCAACGTCGTCGCTTCACCGCCCCTTCAACGACGTGTTGTCGTTGTGCAAGGCTCTGCGGAAGGTGGTGTCAGATTGATCCCTTGCGTAGGGTGAAGCAGAGCATACCTCAGAGAAACATCCGTACGCCAGGAAGAATGTGGAATGAGTACAAGATAGAAGTCGTGTATGTGGGGTAAGGAAGGAGAGAGGGGGTAAGGCCTAAGGCCTAAGGTCCGGCCTTGGTCGGAAAAAACGGCTACGATGTTGCAAAGGATATCTGGTAGCGTTGTGATGTATTCGTGCATTGAAGGTCTGAGTAACAAGGTTTAGTTTACGTTGTGAGAGACAATGATGGCGATACACACCTCGCTGCTGGGGGCACTTTTCAATTTTCAACGTCTTGAACGTATCAACCGTATCTTCGAGGCCTGATGCAGTTGTCGACTCCGAATCCCCAGTGCTAAGACGGCGATCACAGTAAGTTAGACGTGATCATTATAGTTATAAAAACAAGATACTTACTTCATGGCCTTGCTCGGTTGATGGGCTGATGCCACTTGTCGATAGTGCAGGTCCTTGAGTACGTCGTTGATGGTGGTGGAAAGAAAACAAACGTTGGTCAACAAATTTGATTGACGTCCATCATCTCCGCCAACTTCCACCGTTCGCGCTCCTGGAATTTACGCTCGATGACATTTGGGACTTACAGCTAACGAGGTATCGATAGACCAGATTCCAAAACGCTCCGCTTAGTGATTTTATTTACTTTTGGAGCTGTCCAAACAACTACGGCCCGCCATTTGGCGGGCATTGCTTCCCACCCCTTCTCGCTTGCTACGTACACCGCCTGTTGTACGAAACATTGGGGACAGCTGGGAATTTTAAGCTGACACCAACATCATTACATGAATGTAGAACGGCTGTAGAGTGCAGGTTGGGATCACTCTAATGGCACAGTGTCGCCAGCTTTTATGTGGTGGCCAGCTATCTCGGCCGACGTGGAGTCAGCAAGAAATGCTTGCGAAAATAAGAGGCAAAAGCTAGAATTGAACCCGAGACCTCTCGGACACAGATTTGAACCGACCACCATAACCACTACGTTATCGTTCCTTAATAAATGGTGATATCAGAGTGACTATGTTATGACAACGATCACAGGGCCTACCAACAGAGGCAACGGAAACTGGACTTTGAATATTGTCGCTTCCCATCAGACCCTGAATCACTCTGGTCACACAGTGTCATTACAGTGTTTTGCATGTGAGATTGGAATCCAAATCTCACGAAAAGTTGTTTGTTCTTGTATTAGTTGTAATGTGTGATGTTGCCTTCCTCGGTGTCACAGCGTTGAACGTTGAACGTTGAACTTCCTCTGCCAGAGCGCTCTTAGTGAAGGTCACGGGTAGCCGATAAAGGATCTAGTCTTCCGACTAGATCCATATTTTCTTCAAGTGGAGGAGTCCCCTCCCTTGGAACTTGCTTGGAACCCGCATTTACGTCGATGATTGAATGTTGACTCTAGTGTTGCCGTCGAATCGAAGTGACTTCGAGGTCACCTTAACTCCCATCAGTCACAGACCACAAGAACAAACAAGTTTTCGTGAGATTTGAATTCTAATCTCACATGCAAAACACTGTAGGGAGATCCCAACGTGGCGACGACAGTGGGATCACATCAGGACCTGGGAAAGTCATGTCAAATGCCTGATCCCTGTGCGGACAAAAATTTGACGAAAATCCGAATATGCCTGAGGACTGTCCGGACAAAATTTTGGAAATTTTTTGGAAATGCCTGATGTAGATGTGCGGACAAAAGTGGCTCAAATCTAGAAGGCCTGAGCCGATTGCGGACAAAAATTGGGCCAAAACGTTTGGAAATTTGGAAATGTATAGTCTACTATGATATGTTTTCTGGCCGCATCCGGTGTAGCCAGCGTGTTGTAATTTGTAATTTCGTGCCAAATCCCGATTCGAATTCGCTCTTCTCACTTCGCCTCAGTTCCTTCGGACACTGTCCCACGGACCAGGACCCTGGATACAGATGGCGAGGCTTACAAGGATAGTTAGATACTCTCGAGAGTCAAGATTTTAGTTTACATTTAGCCTTCACATATGTCTGGAGTAGCCGCACAGCGAAATTTTTTGAATCCTGCCTATCAAATGCCTGATCCAATGTGCAGACAAAATTTGTGCAAAAGCGAGGCCTGATCCGCGGTGCGGACAAAATTTGGGAGAATCCGTGCGGACAAAAATGGCCAGATTTCGGGATTTTGGGATCAGGCATTTGACATGACTTTCCCAGGTCCTATCACATCACATCAAGCCTCCCTGGGTGTGGTGCCCACATTTTTTTTCAGCTGGTCGGCAAAGGCTGGTGTCAAGCTGGAAACCAAACATGGACAACAGAAAAAAGTCAAATCTGGGGGCAATGTGTTGTACGATTGGCAGTGTACATAGTCATAGATTCCCAGTAAGGTTGTTTGCACATACCCTGAGGCTCCACAAGTAAACAGAATCATTAAGTGGAGCGTTTCAAAATTTGGTCTATCGATACCTCGTTAGCTGTAAGCTGTCCGGCTCTCCTGCCCGACATTCGTTCAGGTGAAAGCTCAATCTGTCAAAGGCAATTGCTTATTGAGTGTCAAATTAGCTCGGCAATTGGGGGATCACGCTAAGCGGGTACTTATATGTTTTGAAAAGTCCACCGCACCAGGGATGTACGATACGGGACGGGTCTGTAGCAGCAGTACGTGTCTATCCATCTTCATTCAGCTATTTTTTAGCTTACAACCCCTGTCTCTGTCCGTCAGTCAGGCCATGTCGTTTCCTTGTGCCCCGCGAATGTTTCAACGCCGCAATCCTGGTTCGCAGATGATATGGAAACCCGGTCGCCGCACCAGCCAACCCTCAAATGAAATGAGAGATTGACGACGAATGGAGAGGGATTTGCGTAGATATTAAGACTACGCATCAGGATACCTTGTTGGTGAAGTTTACGGTACGCACCCTCTTTCATCAACTTGCTGCAGAATGCCCAGTACGCTTCCAGGACGTTGAACGATGGAGTGTAGGTCCTCACTCCGCAGAGGAGAGGCCGGTCGCGCAACGCTGAACATGTTGGGCTGTCTACCATAATTTGGGCGACGCTTCCCTTTGGAAAGCACCATCACCAAGGAGTGGTTCATCCATTCGTACCAACGCACTTTTGCGGCGATCGGCTGGCCTGTGCTCCGTGACGACGCTGTCCTTTGGTCGCCCATCTGGATCTCAGCACTGCGCGGCTCTACCAACGGCTCACCCTAACGACAATAAGCCTGTGATAATGCGATTCTCCATGTGCTGTCAGGCCCATGTCTAATCTAGGACCAACCCAGAAGTATTGAACGATACCACCAGGGTTTTTCTTGCTCTTGGTACGACATAGCTGCTCCCTGTTTGCTCCCTGTTGACTATGACCTAATTGATTGGTCTTTTGTAGGAATCCGTGACGTGGCGAGACCCTTGCAGCGAAGAACCAAGATCACCCATGCGACGCCATCGTTTGTCGCCTGCCGCATGGCTATTCAGCTGAGGCACCCTTCAATGTCATCAGTATCTTCCTACAGTACGTGAAGTGCAACCGGCGGTCGTGCGATTCAGACAACGATACTTTGGCATGGAGAGCCGGGGTGTGAGGCAATTTGAGGATGAGTGACAGAAGTGCAATAAACACCTGGTTTAGGATGCTGGGTTAGGTACGTGTGCTCGTCTTTTGGCTTTGTGCGTACTCAACATCTAACATTTCTAGTATCATTTCCATGGTGGATTTTATTTCATTTTAAAATCTATGAATTAAGATACAGTCCTTTCTTCTGTTCGTCACCTTGAAGGGTGCCGTTTGGCTTCCCTTTCTCGCCGCTTTCTGTTGACGATATTTGTTCCGGCGCTTCCTCGCTGACTTAACGCCGAGTGGGCGTTAACTTCTATGAACGCTGTGCTTCATCGGCCCTTGAGGGATGTCAATCAAAAACGTCAGCTGACGCTGTGAAGCCCATTTCGAGAATTGACGCCGCACAGCATCGACTCTCTCTTCCGAACCACCATGTCTGATCCTAGTGGCTCCCGCAAAAATCCTTTAAAACGTAACTTTGAGGAATTGCCTGATCACCTCATGATCGTTGAGGGCCCATCTAATAAACGCCGTAGCGATTCGAGGTTAGAGTTCATAATCCCACACTGCTTGATAGCGTCTTGACAAGGTCTAGGTTGACTTCTGCAACGGCGCCTGACGTTGCGGGGGAAGCGATGTCCCTGGTGTGTGTTTACAATACACTCTTACGTTCTTTGACTCACATCCTTTGCTTCTGATGCCCAAGCATGTAATGCAGGGAGCACACAGTGTCATTATGAGGGATTCCACACTCTATGTGGCACAGAATGTGTGTCTTTTCATCACGGTTTTTATGGGTTGAGATATGGATCTGACTTTTTGTCAAGATTGAAGTTCATGAACATGCCGGTGGGGGACAAGAGGATACACTCCTTGTTCCCCAAAGACCCAATTCAAGTGCTTTATTTACAGGTCGTGAAGATGTTCTCAAGAGGCTAATGGATCACTTTGCACCTCAAGGTCAAGTAGGTGGTTCCAGGAAATCATTTTTGTTGTATGGTATGGGGGGAATTGGAAAGACACAGATTTGTTTAAAGTTTGTGGAGGAGATGGCTGAAAAGTAAGTTTCTTTGACATAATATTGCTGATTTTATGACAAGTGCATGCAGATTCTCCCACATTTTCTGGATTGATGCTTCTTCTGAAGATACCATTGTTCTTGGTTTGAAGGGTCTTTGTTCTCATTCTGAGGCTAAAGCTGCTAATATCTCTGTGTCCTCCATGTCTGCTCTTATCTGGATTGCATCTCTGCAGTGTAAATGGCTGCTGGTGTTTGACAATGCTGATGGTGCACCTGAAGTTGTAGAAAAGTTTATTCCACCTGGCTCCAAGGGCAATATTCTGGTTACTAGCAGGAATCCATCTCTTGGGCGTGTTACTTCTTATGGAAACTCTCTGGAAGTTGATCAGATGGTTGAAAAGGAAGCCATATCACTCTTAGTGAAAGCCAGCCATCTAAGTGAGCTGCCAGAAAATGTTTACAGCATAGCTCAGCAGATTGTAAATGAGCTCTGCTGTTTGCCTCTGGCTGTTGATCAAGCAGGAGCTTCTATTCAAGCTGGTCTCTGTAGGATTAACAATTATCCTGAGCATCTCTTGCGACATAGGAAAAAGCTTATGAACCACCCTTCATTTAGGGGGGCATCTCAGTACAATTGTACAGTCTATGAAACATGGGATTTGTCTTTTAATGAAATTGAATCAAGAGCAAACAGGGAATCTGATGGGCATGGTAGAGCAGCTGCTCAGGCTGCTATTCTTATTCTTGAAACTGTTGCATTTCTACATCATGAGAATATCATTGAGGCTGCTTTTAGAAAGGCTGCTGTGGAATTCTCTAAAGGAGATCACAGTAAACTGGAACAAAATGTCAAAAGCTGCATCGCCCAATTGCTTCAGCTGGAAGAAGATCAGTGTTGGAATGAATTCTTCTTTCATGAAGGAATTAGAGTTCTTATGTCCTTTTCTTTGATCCAAAGGGGCTCAAGCTCTTCAGAAGTCTATACCATTCATCCATTGATGCATCAATGGAGTAGAGATAGGATGTCAATGTCTCAAAAGAGGTGCATGATGCAGGTGTCAAAATTGATCCTTGTAAACTGTGTTACAGAAGAGGTGACAACTGAGAACATTGCATTCAACAGGATGCTTGCATCTCACATCAAAGCAAATTACCAGTCAGAGAGGGAAAATGGCTTCAAAAGAGTGTTTGATGATGATGAATATTCCAAATTAAGTTATGTATTCTGTGAAAATGGAATGTGGAAAGATGCAGAGGATCTTCAGCTTCAAATAGTAGAAATGAGGATGAAGGAGCAGGGGATGAACCATCCATCAACACTGACCAGCATGTCAAATCTTGCAGGGACCTATTCATACCAAGGAAAATATGAGGAGGCTGGGAAGTTGAAGCTGAAAGTCCTGGATCTGCTTACAAGGCTGTTGGGGCCAGAACATCCAGATACATTGACCAGCATGAATAATCTTGCAGTCACATATTCAGAGCAAGGAAAACATGAGGAGGCTTGGGAGCTGCAGGTGAAAGTCTTGGATCTGTATACAAGGGTGTTGGGGCCAGAACATCCAGCTACATTGACTGGCATGGCAAACCTTGCAAGAACATATTCAGGCCAAGGAAAACATGAGGAGGCTGAGGAGCTGCAGCTGAAAGTCTTGGATCTGTGTACAAGGCTGTTGGGGCCAGAACATCCAGATACATTGACCAGCATGAATAATCTTGCAGTCACATATTTACACCAAGGAAAATATGAGGAGGCTGGGAAGCTGCAGCTGAAAGTCTTGGATCTGTATACAAGGGTGTTGGGGCCAGAACATCCAGCTACATTGACTGGCATGGCAAACCTTGCAAGAAGATATTCAGACCAAGGAAAACATGAGGAAGCTGGGGAGCTGGAGCTGAAAGTCTTGGATCTGTGTACAAGGCTGTTGGGGCCAGAACATCCAGCTACATTGACCAGCATGAATAATCTTGCAGTCACATATTCAGAGCAAGGAAAACATGAGGAGGCTGGGGAGCTGCAGCTGAAAGTCTTGGATCTGTATACAAGAGTGTTGGGGCCAGAACATCCAGCTACATTGGGTGGCATGGCAAACCTTGCAAGAACATATTCAGACCAAGGAAAACATGAGGAGGCTGAGGAGCTGGAGCTGAAAGTCTTGGATCTGCGTACAAGGCTGTTGGGGCCAGAACATCCAGATACATTGACCAGCATGAATAATCTTGCAGTCACATATTCAGAGCAAGGAAAACATGAGGAGGCTGGGGAGCTGCAGCTGAAAGTCTTGGATCTGTATACAAGGGTGTTGGGGCCAGAACATCCAGCTACATTGACTGGCATGGCAAACCTTGCAAGAACATATTCAGACCAAGGAAAACATGAGGAGGCTGAGGAGCTGCAGCTGAAAGTCTTGGATCTGCGTACAAGGCTGTTGGGGCCAGAACATCCAGATACATTGACCAGCATGAATAATCTTGCAGTCACATATTCAGAGCAAGGAAAACATGAGGAGGCTGGGGAGCTGCAGCTGAAAGTCTTGGATCTGTATACAAGGGTGTTGGGGCCAGAACATCCAGCTACATTGACTGGCATGGCAAACCTTGCAAGAAGATATTCAGACCAAGGAAAACATGAGGAGGCTGAGGAGCTGCAGCTGAAAGTCTTGGATCTGTGTACAAGGCTGTTGGGGCCAGAACATCCAGATACATTGACCAGCATGAATAATCTGGCAGTCACATATTCAGAGCAAGGAAAACATGAGGAGGCTGGGGAGCTGCAGCTGAAAGTCTTGGATCTGTATACAAGGGTGTTGGGGCCAGAACATCCAGCTACATTGACTGGCATGGCAAACCTTGCAAGAACATATTCAGACCAAGGAAAACATGAGGAAGCTGGGGAGCTGGAGCTGAAAGTCTTGGATCTGTGTACAAGGGTGTTGGGGCCAGAACATCCAGATACATTGACTAACATGACAAATCTTGCAGTCACATATTTTGACCAAGAAAAATATGAGGCAGCTGCAGAGCTGGAAGTAAATGTTCTGGATCTGCGTAAAAGGATCCTGGGGCCAGAACATCCCAATACTTTGACCAGCATGGAAAATCTTGCAAGAACATATTCACGGCAAGGGAAATATGAGGAGGCCAAGGCACTGTGGCTGAAGTCTCTGGAATTGTGTAAATAATCTTTCAAGGTGCAGTTCAGTCCCGCTTTTTCCCCCAAACAACTAACCAAGGACATTTATTCCAGGATATGATAACATGTTTTTCAATCAACCAGAGAAAGGGCCATAAGGAATTAAAAATCTAGCTTATGAACTTCAGAAAGAAAATGGTGCCTGTCCTGCATGACTCATGAGGAAGAAAGAAATGATGCTTGGTAACTGTCATCGTAGTAGGGGGGGACTCAAAGGTTCAGAAGACAAGCTTTCCATTTCAACACAGAGCTATGCCCCCCTTATTTTCTCATAAATAACATGTAGAATTGCAGAAGACAAAGAAAATTCTGAGATCATAAAATCTATGAAAAAACAAACAAGAAAATAAAAAAGTGGCCAGGCACCGCAGATCAAAGGTAGGAAATATATACAAGCCCTTTCTGTACATACTTCAGTCTGCTGTTCTCCCAAGTGAGCTATGCCCCCTGCAAATAGAGAATTGAATATAGCAATTGGTGGTGGGGTGATAGGAAACCTTGACCTCGAAGACGCCAATGAAGGTACATAAGTTGTATAAGCAATGTCATACTAAAAATAAATAAGCATATGTATGTTACACCAATCCTCTATCCATCCATCCAGTATATATAATTATGTGTATGAGCATATAGGAAGCAGTCGTGGTCGTACTATCAGGGGGGTGAGGGTATATCTAACAGATCCGGAGTGAAACAAGACATCGGGATACCTGAGAAAATATAGGTCGTGCTGTGCTCACACCACATCTTCACCTCCATCCCCAACCCTACTGTCCTCCCCATCCCCCCGTCTGGCCAAAAACGCACCAAAATCCCTCGTCCTCTTCCCCCCTCCCCCTCCGAAACCTGTCACTGGGAAGCCGCCACCACTGATTCAACCAACTGGGAATCCACCACCATTACCTCCTCCAATCCATCCGGTGAACACTCCTTCTCAAACAGGTAACTCATCCTCCAAATCGAAAAACCCCTGTCCCTGTTCAACGGTGCTTGGACTAACAATCTGAGCCTGCATGTCGCTGAACACGGGTGAGGAAGGTGATTGGAGGGTAGTGTTTGAAAGTCCGGTTCGGTCCGGTTTTTTAATGCCCAGGGGCATTAACCGTAACCGTAACCGGTCTGCCTTTTCCCCAGAAGTCAAAAGACCAGACCGGACTGCAAAAAGACCGCAGACCGCAGTTTTTTGCGGTCTATAGACCGGTCTTTAGGCCAATATTTTAAAATTATGAATCGGTAAATTTATTAACATCTCTAATAGCTTCAAAACGAGCCCAAGAACATTAAGTTCCGTTAGGAATTGGTGCTTCTATAAAATAAGTCTGGTACATCTATTATTCCCAAAAGTAATTTACATTTCAATTCATATCTCTCTCACTTTTTTACCAAATCGTATGTTCTTGGGTGCATTTTAAAGGGTATTTAAGGGGCCACAAAGACCGGTTCACGTTAACCGGTTTTTTTGCGGTCTTTATATTTCAAAAATAAAAGACCGTGACCGCAGGTCCGGTCTTTTGCGGTCTTGGTCCGGTCTGGTTATGGTCTTTTTTCAGTCACGAGACTGGACTTCCAAACACTATTGGAGGGAGGGTGATTGTGAGGATGTGTTGGATCTTGATCTTGATTGGGAGGTCGAGGAGTGTTTTGATTTCGATTTAGGCTGGTTGGGGTTGGGGACAGCGGGATTGGGGATGGATTGGAGGTGTTGGGCTCGGTCAGACATAGATGCGGAGGTCCGGCTCAATGAAGAGCGATTACGACGTGAATCCAAGGTCAAATGAGTGCCGCTCGTTGACTTTGACTTGTTGCGTGCGTAGAGACTTCCATCGAGATCTGCATTTTTGTCGTCTTCCTCTGCTGCTGCTGTTGGAGGACAAAGAGGGGTGGATACAAAGTGTCCGAAACCTTCCCTCAACTGTTGGGATCGAGAGTGAGACTGCGAATGAGAGCCCGATGAAGATGTAGTTGCCGTAGTTCCCACACCAACCCCAGCACCACTAGGCTGCTTCAAAAGCACCAACCCACCACTCCCCTGTAACCCCTCAAACCCCTCCCCATCACCAACAACACCAGCCTCCACAAGCCTCTTCATCTCCTTCCTCACCTTCCTCCGTTGTCTCCTCTCCTCTTTTTCTTTGAGACGCTTCGCCTCCGCCTCGGCTGCTTCAGTGGCTTTGGAGACGGAGATGGATTGGATGGTGGATATGTCGAGAGGAGCAGCATCAGAGTCAAAAGTTTGGGTTGTTAGTGTTGTTGTGGGTGTGCTGCCACCCCCGCTGCTGCTGTGGTGAACATGGAATAAAGGCGCATCGTCGTCAGCGTTGTCGTCATCGGGTGGGAGTTGGATGGGTGGTGGTTGGCCGAAGAGATTGAATCCAAACAGGGTTATCCTCTGAGGCTTCCCATTCGCATTCGCCTTGGACTTGCGTTTTCGTCTCCCCCCTCTGCTTCCTCTGTGAGGGATTGAATGCAAAGAAAGTGTTTCTACAGGCTCATTATTGGAAGAGTCTGCTAGGAGACCTTGTGCGTGCGGGGGATGCGGTTGACAGTGGGGTTGTACTTAGTGCTTGGAAGTCCGGTTTTTCAGTTTTTCAACCCTTTTTTTGAGCTAGAACATTGCCATAAAAATTCCCTGCTACAATTGGGGTTTGCAAACACAAAATTTCAGGGTCAGTCCGGTCTTTTTTCCGGTCTAAGATCGGAAAAATTTCCTTTTCTGGTGCCCCAGATTCATTGGGGAATTTTAATGGCAACATGCTAGCAGCAAAACTGACGAAAAAGGCAAAAAACCGGACTTCCAAGCACTAGTTGTACTGTTCTTCTCCTGACGTTGAGTTGGGCCGTCGATTGGCAGTGTTCTGTAAACTATCCGGCAAAGAAACAGGGCGGAGGCAGGGCATGCATGAGCCCAATGCGATTTGGGCAGTGTCGGACCATGAGAACGGGGTCAGCATCGTTGTTGGCGGAGGATGGGGTTGGGTTGGGAAGTTGAAGGGAAATTGCTGGGCCACTTCGTTCAATTCTCAATGTCTTCTACGTCGAAGGCTGATGCAGTCATCGACTCCAAATCCCTAAGATGGTGATCACCCATCAGGAAAAGGTGATTTCTCTGATAGATCGCCAGTTAGATCTGTAGCCAGATATAGAAAAAGTAGGCACAGTATTTTAGCCAAGCGCAATATGTAACTGCATTGGTCATGATAACATGGCCATGTCATTTGATAGTACCTAGAGCTGATGAGGAAGCAATATCTTATTAGTCGGATGAATAGTTACAGCAAGGTCTATGTTGGCTATCAATGCTATGAATTTTGTATCTACAGTTTCTCTACCCCCCGAAACACACTTGCCTCGCCAATTAATAACCTCAACTTATACCTATTACTAACTGTTTTAGTGCATTGTCTGGAGGGCTGTGACATCTGATCGTGCACACGATCGATGGGGGATGTCGTTTGGTTGACGTGGACTTGGGAGATGGGTTGGTGTCTGGAGGGGGAGTGGTGAATCACTTGCTCATTGTCGGTGTTGGCTTAGTTTAGCTGGGGTGGTAGGTGGTTGTGGCTGAGATTTGTGGTCAGAAAGAGCCACATACCTTGTGAAATTACATGATGCAGCCTGTGACCCATCGACAGTTCCTCCACATCAAGAACGAGATGGAAGCCCCATGTCATTGCTTTTGAATAACCCCCCTGCACCTCCTCAACACTACCTTCCTTTGTCGTCGCCTGTCACCAGGCGGCTGGGGTCTTCTGGCTGTGTTCATGGCACCGTATACCATGAGGGAGAATGACCAGTGGTGGTCGATTTACCGGAATCGACGTGTCCGATGGCGCGAGTCTTCTCCTTTCCTGTTTTGTTGCAGGGTGTCTGCACCCACTGCTTGCGGTTTGCCCCTCACACGCTCAGATGAGTCGCACTCCTATAAGCCTCTAATCTGCAGCTGACCTCTTTGAGGTGTCTGAAGGGCTCGGATTGGTCACTAAATCAGACTAGACATAACATTGATACTCACCATACCTAGGCCATTTGAGTCAGAGTGTGTGGTGGGCAGAGAAGTTGAAGTTGAACATTTTGCGCAGGCTGTTACTTAAGGGCATGATCTTTCAAAGTTTGACACTCGATGATCATAGCAACCTGAGATTCCGTGTTCATATATTGCCCACTGGTGTAGAGGTAACTATCGATAACTAACTAGAGTAACTTAGTAGGTAACTATTACCACAAACCCTGGAGTTCAAGTCTGGCTCAATGCAGACATTTAATTTACAATACGAAATAGAATAGAATACTTACTCTACACTACAAAATGAAATGGACACCTCAAATCCTTAGACTGACACATTGTTTCCTATATTAGAAACTATGATGATTACCCCCCAAGAATAAGCCGATTCTGCTTTTAGAATATTTATCATACCATAGAGTTCACATAGAGCTATGTACAACTAGGACCCCTGAAAGTACCCTTGGAACCCAGATCCAAAAAGTTGAAATTTTTGGAATTTTTATCCGGACAGTTTTGGACAATTTCTATCTGGATGGCGGATCTGGGTCCAGGTATGGGCAAAATTTATCCAGATGTGGATCTGGGTTACCCAAAACTTCTATTTTCGCTTTTTTCACCTGAAAACACCAAATTTTCGCTTAAAAACACCAAATTCTTGCTCAGCATCTCCCCTGGAGCCCCAATAAGCATCTCAGATAACAAAACACTAAAATACACGAAATCGTGCCCATTTCGTGGCTCCTCTGAGACATATTTGAGAGTGCAGAGAAATGCAAATATTGATGGTGTAAGATGGTCAAAGTGGAAAACAAATATTATGTTCATTTGGTGTAGTGGTTAAAACATTAATGGCTTTAGTTGATGACCTTCACATTCAATATGTCTTGAGTTCGGATCCCCACCTGCACCAATTTTTATCCGGAAGTGGCTCTGGGTTTGGTGGGTCAGCCCAATTTCTATCTGGAAATCTGCCTCCGGGTTCCAGCCAAAATGGCCCAATTTCTATCCGGACAGTGCTATGGGTTTTCAAAAAAATTTCAGAATTTTTATCCGGATTGGGATCTGGGTTCCAAGGGTATTTTCAGGGGTCCTGTACAACTACAGGAATTTGACTCTATCAAACTATATGATGATACAGCACAACCATGCTAAGCTATAGACTTATTTGTAGTGATATGTATTTGTTGGTGCATATACCACAAACTATATATCAGGGGGCTCTCGATGGCGCTATCACGTCTACATACCGCAATATCGCAAGTCCATTTTTTCCTGATGCCATAAGTTAGACCTGATCGTTGAATTCTAAGAACAAGATACCTACTTCCTGACCTTGCTTGCTTGACAAGCTGATGCAACTTGTCAATAGTGCAGGTTCTTGAGTACATCATTGACGATGGTGGAAAGAGACGCAAAGAAAACAAATGTTGATCAACACAAATTCAACCAACACCAATGTCGTCCTCGACCATCATCGCCAACTTCTACCGTTCGCCCGCCTGAAATTTACACTCAAATTTTTCTTCACATTTGAGACTCAAGCTGTCCAGCTCTCTTGCCCGACACTTGATCAGGTGTCCAAGGTCCAATCCCCCCAATATCCGACATCTTGGACGTATATCCTCTTCATTTGTGACCTGGCACAGTCATTGGCTTTGAATGTGGTCATTGTAAGTCCGACATGGCTTTTAAATAGGGATAAGATCATTACCTGGTGACTTTTCTGTCTCTACTAGTTGATGCGGCTCATGATGGTGTAAGTCCCTTGGAAAGAGACTACGATGTGATCACATAACTCGAAGATTGCGTCATCTTTTCTAGCTCACATCTACCGTTCATGCGCCTCGCCTACTACCCACAAACTTGGACAGCATATGCGCTTCCTCGAGACACTTCAATCACATTTCAAAGTTGGGATTGACAACAACTGGATGTCCTGGTCCTTACCTTGGGCTGCGTAAACGGAAAGGTTAAGGTATGTCTTCATTGTCATTGATTCCCCCTCTGATGAGCACCAGTTCCCTGACAATGCCCTTGTAGTTAGTGTTGTCCCTTGGAATCGAATTACGCGTCTCAGATTCCACTGATGATGTGTCTGCCATGTCTAATGAAGGAAGGAATGTTTGGTGGAGAAGAGGGTAGCCGTGCAGGTGGAGGGTTAAGCTTTTAAGGGTGCTGTACCCCAGGTACGAACGTCAATTCTTCCAGCAATCATCTCCTGCTAAGACACATACAGAACCAATGCCGAGGTTGGCTTACTAGCCCATAGAAACTCAGGCACCAGCCTGTCCATCGTTTATCCCTGGTTGCAATTTCTCAAGCCCTAGATCAACGAACACATCATTCACAAACATCAGCCCGACGGAGGTTTGCTGATCTTTCCCTCCAACGACAAGGTCCGACACGTTCAAGCTCTTCAAAGCCCATTGAATTCCCTCCATCCCCTCAAATACTGACAGTGCGGGTAGACATTGTAGGTTCGGCCCTATTAACTCCTCCAGCTTTCGACGACGGGCTAATTGGTCGGTGTTTCACAGGATCATCAGGCCTCTTCTCAAAAGCATTAGGTTTGTACTTGCCAGGGCCAGCCGATTCCGAACCATCATACATGGAAATCCAAAGCGGATGATATTGCCTATACAATATTCAATCTTGCCAATTTCGCGCACAGTAAGGCCTGTCTTCTACTGGTTTCACCACCTTATCACTACTTTCTCGTTGTTAGCCTGCCAGACAATGGCCATAACCCTCAATGCACTTAAAAACATTCAACCGCCAGAAGCTCTCACAGGGGTAAAATCGGTCTTAAATCTGATGTCTGGGCGCTCAGATGTACCAGCTGTATTTTATCCTGCATACTATGAACCCCCAAAGAAATATTCAACACAGTCGCTCATGCAGAACTCGGACGAACGAGTTCACAAAATATTTATTAGATGTCTACAGCTATTAGAAGTCCCACAAAGCGTTGACATTGAACATTCAAGCTTGAATCCTGCCTATGTACCCAGCTGAACTTTGCCGCTCGAGGCAGGAAGGGGATAGTATACCCTGCTTGCTTTCTTGATTCCTCCGACATCTTCACCTTAATCACCTCTTTCTGTGATCTTGGTTAACCCATCATGTGAATGAAGCATCATAAGTGAAAAGATCTTCTGGGGGCGAACAACCACTGGCAGCCACGCAGCGCATCACCGTCTTACTTGCTATGACAATCCGTCAGGTGCACAGGTGCATCTCAAATCACAAAATCATTGAGAGTCAACGGAAATGGATGAAATCCGGAGAAGATTTCGACTCCCTGTGCCACTACGTGCGAGTCGAAATCACTCCGAATGGAGACAGCAGACATTATGACAGTGCTTATTTTTTTGAGGTTCATATCTCTGGGAATTAGTTCATGAATGTGAGAGGATGGAAACTCACGATGTAAGAGAGATAATGATCAGCCGATACTGGTTCGGCCTTCACCTGTACTTTCATGTTTTCCACAATGCCCTGTAATGGCGGTCGTAGAAACGAACTGGAAAAGAAAAGCACAGGAATTCGAAATGGAGGATACAAAACCATGAGGGCAGAGAGAGGCATTTGCCGTATATCGCACTTGGGCCTTGGTTGAGTAACGCGCAAACTGCAAAACGAAAAAAAACTCACAGTTCGTCAGCTGCTCTGATAATCCTTCTCAAGCAGCCAAAAGGAGGCAAGGAACCAAATCACTGTGGAAAATGAGACGAGCAAGGGAAAGGGTCGAAGTGCAGCAAATAGATCTTAAAATGGTTCCTGCACACGATCTCACATTAGAAAGAGGACAGAACACTGATAGTCAACGCAAGCCTATGAACCTCTACTTCATTTCCCTCTGCCGTCTATCTCTTTCCACCCGCCTCAGCCTCCCGCATAGCAATCCGAGCCCACAACAGAAGCTCACACACGTCCAACTCATGTCCGCCTCAAACGGCGCAACTTCATGAGCATCACGGTGTCCTTCGTCGGTCACGGCTGGTTGGTAGATGCTTGAAAATAATTTTTTCGGAAGCACGAACCAGCATGGCATTCGCATCTTTTCGCAAAACTCTTTCTTGTGCCACTCAACGTAATTGTTACGGCATCAACAGCCACTAAACATGTAGCAATCTTGACAGCCTTGAACTCCATCAAGGAGGAGCTGAAATCGGCTTGATATGAGTTCACCAACGCCAGGCGAGGAGAACTCCGACTTGCTTACTTGTCAGACATGGTGGTGTTGTTGATTGGGGGAATCACAGCGCCATGGAGCTTGCAATGTTCCTGGATATTCGCGAGGTGCACTCAAGGTTGAGAGCTGAGTGAATCCCTGTGCAACGTTGCTGAAGCATAATGAGGCGAATGGCCACTGCCAAAGGTGTGCCGATGACCTGGAGAGGTTGGGTTAGAATCAATCAGTGGTTTATCGAGAGTGCTTATGGTGAATATTGGAGGCCATGTAGATACTTTTTTAGAGCGTGTTGTCGACAATGACGAGTCCGTTGTTGAGTACCAGTGAAAATAAGGGCTAGGTAGGTTGAACCAAGTCGAGCCAAATCTAAAAAAATAGATTCAGCTCGACAATAGAGACTTTTACAAGTTTGGCTGGATTTTAAACCCAGCCATATCTATAGCCGTCTAAGCGGATCTATATAATAATCTAAGCCAACCTAACCAGAGCAAATTGCAAGTGAACACCACAACCGAACCACATCAAACCACACAAAAACCCAGCATCCCATCCTATCGAGCATAACTGAACGAAACCGAGGTAAAAAAAATCCATCTCAAACCTACACCGTCAAGTCAAACAGACGGAAAAAAACCAGGATCAGGATCTCACCAGAGTGCATATAAATCGAGTGTCCCAGCCTATCGAGTGAAACTGAATGAAACCAAAGAAAAAAAACTGTTTCAAGCCTTCACCACTAAGACAAAGAGACCGAAAATGACGAGGATTGGCATCTTACCAGAGAGCGTATCAAAGCCAATCGAGCCAAGTTGAGCTTTGCAAAATCACTAGACCTTTCCTGTGAGAATGAGATGGAAAGGGCAGAATCGAGATGACGCACGATAAAAGCAGCTTCCACCCTGTAATCAGTACTGTAAAAACAGTTAGCAATGAATATATAATATAGTATAAACGACATACTAACGGTGCTGATGAGAGCGTCAATAGCCACAACCCAGGAGTCAGAGGCCGGTAATAAGTAGGGGTAGCAGAAGCCTAAGGACAGAGTATGAAGCGGCACATTCGAAAGGGTAAACGAAGTTGTGGTTAACGGAGTGATGGAAAACCAATGAAATAGGCAGCTGTCAATGGGTCACAGAACTCGAAAGGGCAGAAACGGCGAGGGTAAAGGCAAGCTAAAGGTGACTATGATCCTGATTAGAGAGTTTTATCGTGTTGAGTGAATGTACTTACTACCTATTCATCGTTGGTGGTGCTGGTGTTGGTGGCTACAGTCTTCTTCAAATAACTTCGACATATGATTGTAAAACCATACCATGCTTTGACGGTGTGTCCACCACCTTGGCGTTGGACGCTGACTTCGCTTGAGACGCCTTATTATCTTGAACTTTGCGAAGGGCCATCAATCGCTTGCTTGGTCCTGACGGTGCCCTGAAATGCTTCGATCTTCTTGCAATTAATACAGTACAGGTCAGTATAAACCAGACAACTCACAGCAGATTGACAAGTGGGCGGGTTCCAACAGGTCGCACTAGTCGCGCAGGTAAGGCGGCATTGTGCTGGTTTTCAAGTTCCTCACCATCCAGAGGGCTATCACCATCAGGAGTCAATGGGACACCTTGTTGAGCAGAAGGAATGACCAGAGAAGCATCTGGTCCACTAACTGAGAGTAGCGCCGCTGAGGATGGTAAGTTTACCATGTCGCTTGAAAGAGGCGTCGCATGGGTAACTTCAGACGAGTCAGTCACAGGTGCAAGCAGAGGCGATGGGATGATAGACATCGTGCTTGGAGTTGGTAAAGTCATCTCGTCATTCACGAGAGGCATCGCGTGGGTGGCGGTCGACTCCGTTGTTGAAGTGGGTGGAAGGGATGGGATGACAGGTGACATATTGACGGCAGCTGGCTCAGCGGTGAGTGCGGCTGGTGGTGGTGGTAACAGTGAAGCGGGGGAGAGTGGTGAGGTTAATATGGGGTTTGATGTTGCAAGCGGAGATGTTGGGGGTGGCGTCGTATTCGGCTTCATCTCCTGTTTGACGACAGGGGCAAGATGAGCCTGCCGTTTTTGGGTGTTGTTATGAAAGGTCGAAAGCATGTTTGAAGCGATCTTATCAGCCTTCCAGTGGTCAAAGCAGAGCATGAGATATGGGTATGCCTTATACAGTTCACTAAGAACATAATCACGATCGTTCTTGCCAGCCACAAGTGGCTACCATCTTTATCATAAAACTAAGGCACTTGCCTGTAGAGCTGTGTGTATAAGTCCACAAGTTTTATGAAAGGCCTTTCATAGGTGTGTCCTGTGTCATTCTTTCTCATAAAGGCTATGTCCTTTTCATAAAATGTAGGCAAAGACAACAGGACCCTTTCATAACATTTCTTAGGAGCTTTCATAAAAGCTTTCATAATTATTATCATGCACTTTCTATGAATTTTTCATCGAAGCTGTTCAGTTCTTTCATTGTACTTTTCATAATTAAACCTGTGCGCTTTCAATAGGTATTTCATTCACTGGGTTAGGTGTATTCATTGCCTTTTTCATAATTAATGCTGTGCACTTTCATTGAATATTTCATCAGGAATTTTGGGCGCTTTCATTGCTTTTTTCATAATCAATCCTGTGTGGTTTCAATAAATATTTCATTGACTATGTTAGGTGTATTCATTGCCTCTTTCATAATTAATGCTGTGCACTTTCATTGAATATTTCATTAGGAATATTGGATGCTTTCATTGTACTTTTCATAATTAATGTTGTGCAATTTCAATAAATATCTCATTCCCTAGGTCAGGTGTATTCATTGCCTCTTTCATAATTAATGCTGTGCACTTTCATTGAATATTTCATTAGGAATATTGGATGCTTTCATTGTACTTTTCATAATTAATGTTGTGCAATTTCAATAAATATCTCATTCCCTAGGTCAGGTGTATTCATTGCCTCTTTCATAATTAATGCTTTGCGCTTTCATTGAATATTTCATTAGAAATATTGGATGCTTTCATTGTATTTTTCATAATTAATGTTGTGCAATTTCAATAAATATCTCATTCCCTAGGTCATATTATGTCCATCCAATGGCTCATTGGGAGGGTGGTCACATGTCCAATTTCCAAAAATGGTAAAAAAACAAAAGTTGTAGCTCTTTACCATAGCTTCCTGAATCAGTTGGAATTATGTCCTAAAGTGCTTCCATTGTGGAGATATGAGGTAAAAGGTTTTCAAAAGCGCCGCGTTTTTTTTTGTTTTTTGCATTTTTCTATGTGAAAAGAACACTAAACAACATGATTTCAACAGATTTAGAAAGCTAAGAGAAGGGGCTACAACTATTGTATCATGGGAAATTTCTCCCAAAAAGGAAGGTACATGCCCTAAAAGGGTAATTGACACTGACAGACTACAAAAGATTGCTGATATACTACAAAAGTAAGTTATAGCCTACAAAGTTTACTAATAGACTACAAAAGTTGGACATAGACCACAAAGGTCAGACAAAGACTACAAAAATTAGTAGTGTCTGCTTTTCTCATTACAAAAGTTAATAGTGTCCGCTTTTTGAGACTACAAAAGTTAGTAGTGTCTATTTTTTCGGACTACAATGGTTTGTAGTGTCCGCTTTTTTCATTACAAAAGTTAATAGTGTCCGCTTTTTGAGACTACAAAAGTTAGTAGTGTCTATTTTTTCAGACTACAATGGTTTGTAGTGTCCGCTTTTTGAGACTACAAAAGTTAGTAGTGTCTGCTTTTTCAGACTACAATGGTTTGTAGTGTCCACTTTTTTCATTTCAAAAGTTAATAGTGTCCACTTTTTGAGACTACAATGGTTTGTAGTGTCCACTTTTCTGACATATAGTATGTAGTGTGGTTAACTATGTATATATAGGTCATTGGGGATATGATTGAAGGATGGGAGTCATGGCTAGGTGCGCCTTCACCGCCTCACTCCGAAAGCTGTCAAATTGGACTCATTTCTCGAGCTGGCGTATGGGGTTGAGGCATTCCTGAGTCCTATGGTGATCAAAGTTCTTTATTTCCATCTTAAAATGTACACAACATCATGAACTATGTCTTCATTATCCTCCAGAAACAACCTCTCTCCCCTATTCCCAAAGTTCCCTCCTTCCCAGCTTCCACCAAGTTCTACAACCTGCCCCTCATGGGACAGATCATTCCATGAGTGAAAGTCCTCTGCATTATGCGGTAAATGATCTTCCCTACCACCTGCCGAATCCACACGAGGGCGCTTATTCGAGGTTTCAATGGAGGGACTGCGAGATTGAGTAGAAGCGAAACACGGATGAGACGCCGGAGTGAGGTTGGACGAGGAGGCATTGCTGGACAGTGGGGCATGGCTGGGTGACGAAGTATCATTGGACGGCAGGGCAGCATTGAGTGGCGGAAGGACGTTGGGGTTTCTGAAAGCATCATGAGATGGCAGGGCAGTGTTGGGCAGCAGGGCAATGTTGGGCGGCAGGGCAGCCTTGGGCGGTAGAGCAACGTTAGAGTTTCTCAGGAATTCATCGATTGGAGTTATGTTGGGTTGGGATGAGGAGCGGAAAGGCGCGTGTCAGTACCAAGTTGATTTCTTGAGGTGTTTGGGCTCTGTGCGGCTGCCAACACAGCACTACTGTGTGCAGTCACAGAGGTATGGGTCGGGCATCGTCGACGAACGAGTGGGGATCGATTGGCCTGAGTGTTGAACGAAGCTCAGCCCGATTTGGATCGATGACGTTGAGTTGGCTATAATTGGCTCAGTATGTCTCAGTTTGGTTTTCCGTCATTTTCACTGGGGTTGAGTGATGGATTCTTGTCTTCCCATCCATCCAAACACGAAAAATCACAGCCACATTATCTCGTCGGACACGAACCCTTCAATCGCTGTGTGTTTTGGCTCCACATATCACACTAATAGGAGGGTTCTTGTGTTGCCCTTGTGTCGGAAAAATCCGTGATGCCTTACAATAATAATAAATTACAAGGCTATCAGGAGCTATTGTAGTCACGTTATAATGGTCACGTTGCATTATAAGATCAATGTTTGTCCAATACTTTACCCTCCCCGGGTTATTCCAGGGGATCCTGA